CCCTACTTTCAAAAAATCCATGCCATCCCTACTTTCAAAAAATCCATGCCATTTCTTTCAAAAAAAACTGTTCATGTTTCTAACCATGTAGGAATTAAGGGCAATGACAGAGCAGACAAAAGTGCTAAACAGGCATTAAGACTAGTTCTTGAAAATTAACAAATCCTATATACTAACCTAAAACCATTAAGAAATGCTTGCAAAATCAATGGCAAGAACAATGGAGCAAAAAAAGCACAAACTAAATATAATCTTACCCATCCTCAGGGGGGGAAGAAAAACCCTGCCGTTATAGAAAATCATGAAGGGAAGGGGTTACTATAACACAATTACAAATAAGTCACACTAAAATGATGCATTCATTCTTACTGAAACAAGAAGAACAACCATGGTGTCCTACATGTCAAAACTAATGTATGTTAAAACATTTTCTAATTGAATGCCTTGATTTTGACTCCAAAAGACACAATTTCTTCAAGGCAAACAGCCTAAAAGAACTATTTGAAAATATTAAAATAGAATTACATTTCTGAAATCAGTTGAATTATATCTGAAAATATAGACAAAAAAAAATATTGTCCATTTTCCCTACACATAAACCAAAATAAATCAGTTTTTAACCAAAATTTCTAGCGTGCCAGAAAAGATTAAAAAATTTAATTAAATAATCTAAAATCCTTTGGTCTTTCCTCTTAATAATAGCATAAAGATTTTGACAATAAAACATTGCTTTTATCAAGTTGGGGCATTTTTTTCATTATAGTATGATCTTTTTTTAGCAAATTAGTGGCGATACCTAAATTATAGGTTTATTTTGTTTTTAAATTCTATATTAATTATAGTTTTATTATTTAAAAATCCAATATTTATTATAGGTTAATTAAAAAAAAATGAAATCTTAATTCTAGGTTTTTGTAATGCAGTTTTGGGTTAAGTAATTTTAATAATATGAATTAAATAAATAACATTTCAGATGATATATTTAATTTTATTTCTGATATGTGACCTTTTGCAAAACCAAATGTGCACTCAGAAAATGAGGCTAGATAAATAAATCTAACAGAAAAGGAGGTAATTCAATGCTTGCTATACAGAAATTGATGGGGACATTAAAATCAACAATGCTAGAATTAGAGGAAACAAAATGATCTAGGTATAACATATGATTTTTTTTTCATTTTAATATCTGTAAATTGTAAGATGACTGTCCCTGGGAGAGGTAATCGAGTTGTTTCCTATTATTTTCTCAACTGTTTTGAATTTGACATTCTCTGTTGTTTTTATGACTGGTTGCCCTACCAAGAGTAGAGAGCTCAGTCAGCCCTATAATTTTTATCCATAGATTAATGTTTCTTTTGTGCATTGTATTTTCATTGTGTCTATGATCATGTACACAGGTTATCAGCCATCCATTACCAGTTGGGCAACAATAAACATTGATAGACAGACTAAGGTCATTGTAGCCAGTGGAACAGAACTTACAATGCTGGATAATGGAGGACAATCTGTGACTTTGGTAAGTTATATATGGATTGTTTTGTTGACAGTTGGTCATTAACAATCAAAATAAATGCTCATGTAATATTACGTATGCGAAGTAGAGAAGAATAAGTTATGGATTAGAGCAATGATTCCCACCGGTGTGGCACAGTAATATTTTGGTGGGGCATGTGTAGGATATGCACCCATCAGCTTACTATACCAACAGAATAGGAGGGCAGTTCGAGAATGAGTTATTAACAGTGAATTGTTTTCTAGTGAGTTTGAGAGTGTTAATGTTAATGCATGTTAATACATATGATACATATACAGTATGCATACATAAAAATATTTTGTGTGTATGTATATACATGTGTAATTGGCATACAGTGTATTTCCCATCTCCCCACACTTTTTTGTCTCGGCCAGAAAAGGAGAGAGTATGCTGCATGTTTAAAATGATCAAAGTATTTTACGGAATAAGCTTTCATTTAAATATTTTATATTTCTGCATTTCAGTTCTTTATTGTATGTTTTGAAACTATATATATGACTAGCAATAGAGCCCGGCGTTGCCCAGGGATGTAACAGTAAGAGATAGATCAAGTATCGACCATCATAAAGACTGAAAAATAAAATTGACAAAGATTATTGTTTAAGGTTGACGGACACACATGTCTTAATTAGTTTTTTTTATTTTGTTTTTTTTTTTTACAAATTGTTCAAACTCAAACAAAAACATTGTTTTCAATCGTTATGAGGCTACCGATTGAATAGAATTTTATTATAAACAATTGTCTTGTAAATGGAATTTTTAAAGCATTCTGAATGTAAAAATAAAGAAAAAAGTGTGCAAGACAATAAGAAACACTACCTGCCAAAAAAAAAGTGAAGTTTTGTTGAAATCGGTTGAAAAATGTAGGAAATTCGATCCCATGTATAAACGAACACACATACACAAACAACCTCGGTTTTATAATAAGTATAACTTGATATGAGTTGTCCCCCTTTCATTCTCACGATGCCTTTTAATCATGTTTTCAAATTGATTTTGTGCAAATTTTTCGCAAGGTAATTTTACGTAGTCCTGTGAAGTTTTGTTGAAATCGGTTGAAAAATGTAGGAAATCCGATCCAATATATAAACGTACAGACACACACACACACACACACACACACACACAGGGTTTTATAATAAGTATGATGTTACATACTGGATATGCTATTGTTTGGGAGTAGAGTTCAGAGGATAAAAAAATAGGAACCACATACTTTTCCCTTGTGGTTTATTGTGCCAATTCTGGTAATTACTAAGTGCTAAACAGAAAGTGGTCAAAACGGTGACTAACCTAAAATGTACCAAAATGAAAAAGGCATGAACAAAGTGTAAATAAAACAAAGGTTCTGTACTGGGGTAACAGAATTGTTATATTTGATGATGATTTATTTGCTCTAACATCCAGTGTAAAAACAACAAAAAAATATTTTGGGTGTTAGGAAGCACCTCTAATGATGGAACAGCTGTGCTCCATTTTGGTAATAGTTCCTCTGCATTGGTTCTCACCTGGTACCCAACTCATACCTGTGGCTCCAAGAAGCAGTTTGCATGTAACAGCAGCCACACCCCAGTAAATCACTTTGAGTGGTGGGCACATCAGTTGAGGGTAGTCAATAGATCCAAATCCTTGATAATTTCATGCCTGTCAGTCTTATTGCATGCAAAGGACTGATTCTCAGCAAAGTGGGCAGATGAGATCTCCTACAGATTCATCAGCCATGAAGTGCATCAGATCATTATATATAGAAGTCCTGTTCATTTACTGCAACCTGGAAATCTCCAGTTGTAACAGTTCCTCTTGTCACTGGATAAAGACTCTCCAGGCCAAGAGAGTGGGATTACCATAGTGCAATTTTCCCCCACAGGTCTGTTTTGAAAATTCATCATCATTATATCACCGATCTGGAGGTAAAATTCCAAGGGATTGACCACATTATCCACATGGAGCAACATCACATTCCCAGATGAATGTTTTATGGAGAACTGCTATGTGGTAGAAGACATCAAGGTCAACTAAAGAAACAGTAGAAAGGCACAATCAAAACTAACCTCCACTGGTGCAAGATGAAAGCCAGAGGAGTGTGCTGTCGACTAATCATATTGTACACCAAAATTCTGCAAACTTCAAAGTAGCCCATCATAAAAAAAAAATCAATATTCAAAGAGAACAACGCCACTGTGCAATTTTGGCCTTGGTCACAATGACTGACTTCCAGTGTCCACAGTGCTCCAGATTCTGCATGTCTAGACTTTGAGAGCACAATGGCTGAAACATTGTGATAGCAACAACAAAGATGAAGACAATAGTCTGAATATAAATAGTGTAAATAATTATAACTCCTCATCCCAGAAACTCACTTCCTGTAGTTTACCCAGATCGATATATACCTGATGAAGGTTGATGGCTACAACAGCTGAAACATTGTGATAGCAACAATAAAGATGAAGACAATAGTCCAAATATAAATAGTGTAAATAATAATTCCCCACCCCAGAATTTCAGACAAAAAATATCAACAGACCAGTTAGTTTAAGAAAAAAAAAAATTACCACCTATTCTTATGTTTCTGAAGATCATGTGAAAGCAGAAGTTCCATTTTGTGGGGAAACTTTTATCTCAGGTTAAAACATTTTTATAAAACCGTTTTTCCTGCCTAGTTTTGTTGATTTTTGCCACCTTATAAATTTTCTACTTAAGAAAATATGAAGCTGAATGTTGGTACCCCTATGACTTCCTCTGCAAATGAACTCATTTTGATTTCATTTTACCTTTGTTCTAAATGGCTTAAATTCTAATGGCTCTTAAAAATGTTTTTTGAGGATGGTCTACAAAATTTTTAACTGAACAAAGAAACTAAACCAAGTACATTAAAATGAAGATGCCACTAGATTATTTTAATTCAAAATAGTGATAACACATGACAATTTGTCCATGTTAAGCAATTTTATTGACACTCAAGTTTGGGTTAAGTCACTGGATCTAACCAACGCTTTTATCCACTGGGCCATATATCACCTGAAGAAGGCCAGAGCGTAAAACAGACGAAACATTGTGAACATGACCATAAAGATGAGGACAACAGTCTGAACAATGTAAATAATGTAAATTATTACAATACCTCACCTCAGAAATATAGACAGGAAATTCTTTATCTAAGAAATTCAAAATAATGTTTTGTTTTTTTTTGTTTTTTTCTAACCATGATTGATAATGTTTGTTTAAAATGTCTGTTTTGTTTTGTTTTTTTACTAGCCTTTTCCACCTCACAACTGGCAGGCTGGATCTGTTATTGATATAGCCGTATGTTCTGAGAAAACTCTAGTTGCCTTTTATACTGCAACAGGTTTGATTTGGGTAGGATCTTTAATGGATATGGTAAGAAAATATTCCTCACCTTCATTTACTATGTTTATACATATCCTCTCCATTGATGCCAATGATAATAAATATCTTCATAATAATCATGTTAATCATCATTATCATAATAATTATTTTAATAATCATCATGAAATAATATTAAAAATAATGATCATAATAATTATGTTAATAATCATCATCATCATATTGCTAACAAACATCATCATCATCATCATAATAATCATCATCATCATTATAATAACATCATTATAATAATAACTAGTTTAACCCGTGAAAATTTCATGGTTTTCTTATTTTAATATTCTGATGAATCTTAATTTTTAACTTAATGATTGAGTAAGCTCATGGCAAGTTCTATGACAATAAATTATTCATGGAAATTGCTTTATCACATCGTTAAATATTTGAATTTAACAACTTTAACAAAATATTGCAATAACAATCATAAATATGAATACTGGTCATTATTTTAAGAGGTGGGTACAAATGAAAAGATTTGGAATTGACAACATTTTCTATTTCATTGAAACACCCGATAAACACTTCTATACTCCTTACTTGTCACTTTGCCTCTTTCCACACAATCATAATAGTCTATTATTTATGATGTATTGGTAGGACACAACAGTTGTGTAAACTAATGAAGAGTGTGACAAACACAATTATAATAGGATGATAATAATAATAATCATCATCATAATGTTATCAAATTAATGATAATGTTATCATAATGTTAATCATCATTATCATGTTAATAATCATCATCATAATGTTATCAAATTAATGATAATGTTATCATAATGTTAATCATCATTATCATGTTATTATCAAATTAATGATAATGTTATAATGTTAATCATCATTATCATGTTATCATCAAATTAATGATAATGTTATAATGTTAATCATCATTATCATGTTATCATCAAATTAATGATAATGTTATAATGTTAATCATCATTATCATGTTAATAATCATCATAATGTTATCAAATTAATGATAATGTTATCATAATGTTAATCATTATCATGTTAATAATAATCATAATCTTTTTTTTTTTTTTTTTTATCAAATTAAAAACATTTTTCATAATTTTTTTTGATCATTATCTTTATCTTTCCATCAAAGAAATCTCAGTGACCAGAAAAAATGTTTATACAAGAATCATAATAATCTTTTATTAGGATAAAAAATGTTTTTTTTTTAGGGAAAAAATGTCAATAAGTCCATCACACATAAAAAGATAATATTTTTACTTATTTAAAATTTACACTATTTACATTTAGGCTATTGTCCTCATTTTGATATTCAGTCTTAAACAACAGGGAATCTTTCCTTTATTTAAAATGGTGGAAGTCTCAGTTCTGTGACCTGATCGATGATGAAGAAAAAATGTTTAAAACAAGAACTAGATTAGATATGAAAGTGTGATAAAACAACAAAGATGAAAACAATAGTCCAAATATTTGTAAAATGATAACACCTCATCCCAGAAGCTCATACAACAAAGGATTGAAAAAAAATGTCAACAAAGATTTGGACAATTGTAAATGATAACAAAAAAATGTCAAATATTGAATTGTAATAGCAACAACAAAATAAGACAATAGTCCTATTTTGTAACATAAAAGATACAACAAATATTTTTTAGCAACAACAAAGATCAGGACAATAGTCCAAATAAACTTATTTAAAAAACTATTTACATTTAGGCAAAATTGTCCCCTCATTGAATTTAATAGCAACAACAAAGATCAGGACAATGTTTCATCTCAGAAGTTGTGTCCAAATATTGGCCTTCATCAGGACAATGTATAAATCAGTCAGAAGGTCAAACAACAAAGGGAATTTTTTAACAATAGTCCAAAATAAATTGTGTAAATTTAACACCTCATTTATTGAATATGGTGGATGTCCAAATATAAATAGTAAATGATAACACCTCATTCTCATTCCCCAGGACAATTCCAAATATAAATTGTGTAAATGATAACACCTCATCCCAGAAGTTACAACAAATATTGAATTGTAATCAAAGATCAGGACAATAGTCCAAATATAAATAGTGTAAATGATCACCTCATCCCAGAAGCTCATACAACAAATATTGAATTGTAATAAAAAAAGATCAGGACAATAGTCCAAATATAAATAGTGTAAATGATAACATATCCCAGAAGCTCATACAACAAATACTAAGAACAAAGATCAGACAATAGTCCAAATATAAATGTGTAAATGAAAGCACCTCATAAAAACAACAAATAAAATTGTAATAGCAATAACAAAGATCAGGACAATAGTCCAAATATAAATTGTGTAAATGATAACACCTCATCCCAGAAGCCTCAAATATTGAATTGTAATAAGTTCAAAGATCAGGACAATAGTCCAAATATTGTAAATGATAACACCTCATCCCAGAAGCTCATACAACAAAATATTGAACAATAGTCAGGACAATAGTCCAAATATAAATTGTGTAAATGATAACACCTCATCCCAGAAGCTCATACAACAAATATTGAATTGTAATAGCAACAACAAAGATCAGGACAATAGTCCAAATATAAATAGTGTAAATGATAATCATCCCAGAAGCTCATACAACAAATATTGAATTTAATAATAACAACAAAGATCAGGACAATAGTCCAAATATAAATAGTGTAAATGATAAACCTCATCCCAGAAGCTCATACAACAAATATTGAATTGTAATAGCAACAACAAAGATCAGGACAATAGTCCAAATATAAATTGTGTAAATGATAACACCTCATCCCAGAAGCTCATACAACAAATATTGAATTGTAATAGCAACAACAAAGATCAGGACAATAGTCCACCTCAATTGAATATAGCAACAACAAAGAAGTCCAAATATAAATTTGTAAATGATAACACCTCATCCCAGAAGCTCATACAACAAATATTGAATTGTAATAGCAACAACAAAGATCAGGGACAATAGTCCAAATATAAATTGTGTAAATGATAACACCTCATCCCAGAAGCTCATACAACAAATATTGAATTGTAATAGCAATAACAAAGATCAGGACAATAGTCCAAATATAAATTGTGTAAATGATAACACCTCATCCCAGAAGCTCATACAACAAATATTGAATTGTAATAGCAACAACAAAGATCAGGACAATAGTCCAAATATAAATTGTGTAAATGATAACACCTCATCCCAGAAGCTCATACAACAAATATTGAATTGTAATAGCAACAACAAAGATCAGGACAATAGTCCAAATATAAATTGTGTAAAATGATAACACCTCATCCCAGAAGCTCATACAACAAATATTGAATTGTAATCAACAACAAAGATCAGGACAATAGTCCAAATATAAATAGTGTAAATGATAACACCTCATCCCAGAAGCTCATACAACAAATATTGAATTGTAATAGCAACAACAAAGATCAGGACAATAGTCCAAATATAAATTGTGTAAATGATAACACCTCATCCCAGAAGCTCATACAACAAATATTGAATTGTAATAGCAACAACAAAGATCAGGACAATAGTCCAAAATAAATTGTGTAAATGATAAACCTCATCCCAGAAGCTCATACAACAAATATTGAATTGTAATAGCAACAACAAAGATCAGGACAATAGTCCAAATATAAATTGTGTAAATGATAACACCTCATCCCAGAAGCTCATACAACAAATATTGAATTGTAATAGCAACAAAAAGATCAGGACAATAGTCCAAATATAAATAGTGTAAAACCTCATCCCAGAAGCTCATACAACAAATATTGAATTTAATAGCAACAACAAAGATCAGGACAATAGTCCAAATATAAATTGTGTAAATGATAAACCTCATAAATAGTTTTACAATAAATATTGAATTGTAATAGCAACAACAAAGATCAGGACAATAGTCCAAATATAAATTGTGTAAATTCATTAGAATCATACAACAAATATTGAAAATAGCAACAAACAAAGATCAGGACAATAGTCCAAATATAAATAGTGTAAATGATAACACCTCATCCCAGAAGCTTTACAACAAATATGAATATAGCAACAACAAAGATCAGGACAATAGTCCAAATATAAATAGTGTAAATGATAACACCTCATCCCAGAAGCTTACAACAAATATTGAATTTTAGCAACAACAAAGATCAGGACAATATCCAAATATAAATTGTGTAAATGATAACACCTCATCCCAGAAACTCATACAACAAATATTGAATTTAATAGCAACAACAAAGACAGGACAATAGTCCAAATATAAATTTGTAAATGATAACACCTCATCCCAGAAGTTACAACAAATATTGAATTTAATAGCAACAACAAAGATCAGGACAATAGTCCAAATATAAATTAAATGATAACACCTCATCCCAGAATATAAATATTGAAAATAGCAACAAAAAGATTAGAATTTCATCCCAGAAACTCATACAATAAATATTGAATTGTAATAGCAACAACAAAGATCAGGGACAAAGTCCAAATATAAATTGTGTAAATGATAACACCCTTTACAATAAAAAATAATAGCAACAACAAAGATCAGGACAATAGTCCAAATATAAATTGTGTAAATGATAACACCTCATCCCAGAAACTCATACAATAAATATTGAATTGTAATAGCAACAACAAAGATCAGGACAATAGTTCAAATATAAATTGTGTAAATAGAGATAACTCCTCATCCCAAAAATTCAGACAGAATTTATTGAAAATTTGTTGATAAAATGTTACAATTGAAATAAAATTTCATAAACTAAAATGTTGGTGGTAGAAGTTGTACTTATTTAATTTCAATAAATTAAATAAAATTTTTATTAAGCCCTATTATATAAATTCATTACATATTACCTATTTTAAATACAAATATTATGACTTTCCTTTCCAAACATAATATACCTTATGGCTTTTCGTACATCACTTTTTTTCTATACAACGAACAATACTTTGAACTCTGTTTTTGAAGCAAAGAAGTTTATATATTTGTAATGAATTATGAAGATATATACAAGAAATGTTAGAGAGTTCTCAGCCCAACCAACCAAACTGCCCTTTTAAAATAGATATACTGTATATTTCCACACATAAGACAACCTTTAAATCCCAAAAATCACCAATAAAAATTGGGGGATGTCTTTTGCTACAATTCTTAAAAAGAAACCTTAAATTCTGAATGTTGTTTGTCAGTAAACTAACTTTAGCACAATAACCAATAACATACATGAAAAGATTCACATTATCAAATAAACTGATAATAAAAGTAAAATAATAAAATTATTTCTACCTTATATATTACTGACTTGACATAATAATTAATTGCCTATTCAAAGAATAATTCCCTGTCAATGAAATCAACTTGTATCCATGCAAGCTCAGCTGAGAAAATTTAAATATCAAGTTATGATTGCATTCACAGCAATGGAATGTTCTATTATTATATATTTTTGGGTAGTATTTTGTAATTATCAGTGAAGTATAAGTAAATGGCAATTAGTACACCAGGTTGTTTGTAATTGTTTAGATATAAGAAAAGAAGAGGAAGAAGAGTCAGTATTCACAAGAGACGTGATAAAATGCAAACAAAACAATGATTTTCCTTTTAGGGAACGTGTGTAGAAAAAACATGATACAAAATCAGTTTTGCTATTTTGTTTATTTTGAATTTCTAAACATACAATAACAATATTTCCAATAACATCATCTTTATATAATCAATAAGCAGTCATCTTATACTACAGGTATAGGATAAATTCATGAAAATTTGCTTTATTTTTTGACCTTGTCTTATCTAAAGGTTGCCTTATAAGCGGACATACAGTAATGTTTAGTGATGTTTTAGGGAAGTAGGTCAGACTCAACTTTTCAACACCTTCTTGTAAAGTCATGGATTTGGATGTTAATGACAAAACTAGACTTTTTTTCTTTTTAATTTTCCTTTGTAAATATAGATTAAATTCTCCAGTTCATGAAAGGAAAAAAATGTTAAATTTTATAAAAGTTAATAGACAATTTACAGCCACATTGAAATGATAGTTCTCATACAATCACTGAAGTTAAGCAATGTCAAGACTAGATGGGTGACTGCTTGTACTGTAAACTTGGATGTGCAGATTGTGTAAAGGATGGGTTTTGTTAGATTCACTTATGCTCAAATCCCCTTGGAACAGGTATGTATCCACCTCTTCTCCCCCCAGCTATGGGTTAATTAGTAGGACTTGTATCAGTAAATTATCTCCAAAAAATTCTTACAATTTAAAAATATGTTTTCTGGCTTTAAATACCGGTTGGTAAGTCATAAAAAACGGTCTATCAATAAAATTTAATAGGGATGTTCAGTATGCCATGTAAATTAATTCGCCCTACAGAAGCCAAAACAAAATCTGCTCATAACACATTTCTTGAAATTTACAAAAAATTTTAACTTGTAATCTGGAGTTCTTTTTTCAAATATTAGCAATATTTAATATTCATATCAATAAAGCACTGCAGATTATGAATTTAAAAATATTTTAAGAAGTCATTTTATATCACCATGTTTATTTTGGTTTTCTTATGATAATGGTTATGTTAGTTTTTCCTTATAAGGACACATTTGGCATTCATTAACTGAGCAGCCAGTCATTTGAAATTCATAAAATCTTTTTCCTAAAACAATTTTTCACAAAAATAGGTTCCTCAAATCCAGAAGCTGTTATCACTCTTTCCACAATTGAAGGTTTCCTTCCTAATCTTTTGTTTGAAGTAGTGTGGTATGTCAACATTTTATGTCATTATTTTAGTTGTTGCTACTGTTGATAGTCCTCAAGTCATGTTGTTTCCATTATTTGATACAGTTCTTCAGGCTTCTGTAGCACCAGTCTTCACCAAAACCCACAGCCTTCCTTAGAGAGATCAATTTACAATGAATTTACATAGCCAATTTAGCCTCCCTTTGTTATTTAGGATACTAAAATCTATAGTAATATGAAAAACAAACTTGAAAAAAAAAATTGTATTTTTGGTCTTGTTGCTTATTGTACAACACCACCTTTTTATGTGTTAGATATAATCAAGTTACAAAAATATTCTCTACCTTGAATATATTAGGTTGTCCCAAAAGTTCGTAAATACTTGCAAAAAATTGAAATTTTACTCACCAATAATAACTAAAACAAAAATTATTCCTCAAAATAAAGACCATCATTTTCCAAGACTTTCTGCCATTGATCTGCAAGCTTTCGGATCTGGTGAAAGTACCATTCAGCCGGCTTTGAATCAAAGAATTCTTGACACGCTTCCTCAACTTCATCAAACGAGTCGAATCGGCGGCCCTTCAGAAAGTGTTGCATTGAGCGGAAAAGGCTGTAATCTGATGGAGCACAGTCAGGACTGTAGGCTGGATGTGGCAGAACCTCAACGCCATCCAGCTCTTCAAACTTGTCTTTGGTCTTCCTGGTGGTGGGTGGCTTGGCATTGTCATGCTGCATCAAAGCGCGCTTTCAGTTGATCAGAGCCGAGTACTTTTGCTTCAACTTTTCATAGACCCGCTCCAGTTGCTGACAGTAAAGTTCGGCACTGATGGCACGGCCATTCGGAATCAACTCAAAATGCACAATTCCTTCAAAGTTCCACCAAATGCACAACATGACTTTCTTGCCAAATCGATCTTGTTTTGGAACCGATGGTGTCTCTTGCCCTTTCTGAACCCATCACTTGTCTCAATTGTGCTGGATTGTGTTGCATAAAAATTCAATTTTTCGCAAGTGTTTACGAACTTTTGGGACAACCTAATATTTGATAATATTTGAATATTCTTTTATTTTTGTTCATTTCAGTCTCCATTATGGGATATTGATATCAAATGTACTCAGAAACCCACATGTTTTGTTTGGTAAGTTATTCTTAAAATAAAACCAAAACTTCTACTTATAGAAGAGGCTTAATTGATTTAAATACAATCATAGGAGAGTGAAGACTTTCTTATTCCATGTCAAATATAGGGCCACAGCCTCACCATGCTACATCTTCCTATTCTTTTAAGTAATATTTGCTATACTTTGCAATCACTGTTCTGCTATCCATTTATAAAAGTTTAACTTGAGGTTTTCCTCAGTTCTACTTGCTTTCAATATGTCCTGTGAGTGTCTAATTCTCCAAACACTCCGCATTAGTTTTTCTTAAAATTCTCTCATTTTTTATTATAAATGCAAGTGTTTTTTTTTTTTTATTCCCTTAAAACTTATTCATCGCTTACATGTTCTATCCATATTCTCAGCATCCTTCTGTAGAACCACATTTGTTTTGTTTTTTTTTTTTTTTTTTTTTTTTTTTTTTTTTTAAATCAGTTCACCCCAAGCAAGGTGATAATGCCACTGAGACACAAGGGTCTACTGGGAGTGAAAGAGAATAGGAAGACTTTAGAACCAGAAAGCCAATCCTTAATAGGAAACAAGGGATAAACCTCTACTCCTGTTCAAAAGACTTGGGAGGAGTTTGAACCAGTCAATAGACTAAGCTATCTACTCCTATTGAGGAGAAAAAAAATAAATGAATAATTAGCAAATAATATTTCAGAGTTCAGGCAGTGACATTGTAAGTATAGAACTGAAGTAGTTTAGAAAAAAAAACAGCCACCCAATCCTAAACTAGAAACAAGGGATAAACCCCTACTCCTGTTCCTTAAGTCTTCTTTTCATCTGCGAGGTGGGTGGGGGACACACAGGCAAGTTTTAGTCTTATGCAAATTTGGGATTAAAATAGTAATTATTTTTGTTCAGTTTTCTGTATTATAATGACAGGAGAGATTGGTTTGGATATTGTTAATTTTACTGCGTGAGACAAATTCCAGTTAGTAAATACTGAATTACTTCCCTTACATTATTTTAAGTAATCTCTTTTGAGCCAAGTTGGGCACTTCGATATAGTACAGAGGTTGGCAACCTTTTTTGAGAGTACGTGCCAAAACCGTCCAAATCTCTGACACAAAATTTTTCCGGATGACATCAAAACTTTTTTGAAACCTCAAAACTAGCAGCAGCTACGTTAGAACTGGGCCTACCTGAAATAAAGTTCATAAAAGTATCAACCTGTTTTTCGTCATACCTAATTCATGAGGAATTAATTCTCTTTGTTCCTCCTCAGTTTTATTGCTGAAGTTCTTATGAACACTTTCAAAATGTCTCTTTACAGAAGAAGTCCTACAAACAATTGTTTCAGAACAGAAAATGTATAAGGCTTTATTGTTTTTCTCATTCATGCCAAATTTTTCAGTTCAGTATTCTTTAAATTTTCTTTAAAAATTGCTCACATGTTCAGTACATAGCATTCTTACCATGCTTCTGCAGAAACACATCTTTCACTTCAAATGTCTTCATCTGTAAGGAAATTGTTAAACATTCAAAGGAGGGTAGATATGACATAGCTATTCTGTGGCACACACGTGTCAGTACAGATGCAAAAGAGGCCCCGAGTTACATGCAGATATGTCTGTTGAAGCTAGTCACATCCAACTTTTCCCCGTTAGCAGCTGAACAACTTGGTATGTCTAGATATGGGCCTCTCTCCAACTTCTCTATATCAGGGTCTTTGTTACCTGTCTCATGTCAATACAAATGATGGGAAAACCAGCATTTGGCAAGACTCACTTTGCTATTATCAAAGATTTGGTATCTTGTGAAGACGTTCCCTTGGCACATTTTGTTCTTTAAGTTGCATTCTGCTTGCCATGCTGTGGTTTCCAAGGCAGTGGCCCCACAAGTTATTATTTAGTTTTATTTTATTTCCTCCTGTCTCTTTCCCTTCTCTGCCTGTTCCCCATTAATTGTTAAGAGAAGAATCCATTAAGGGTTTCCTTCAACCTCAACACATCCTTACATTATTTTAAAAACACTTTCAGCACTCTTCTTTGTTTCTAAAGAATTTTTCCTGTCTCTTAATATTTTGTTTAGTTTCTGGAAGGCATCTTTCTTTATTCCAATGTGCCTTCAGATTTCTTTGTCACATTTTCTGCCATCTTTTACTAAACTACCCAGGTCGTTAAATTTCTGTATTTGCTTCGTTTCAATATCTCCAATTTGTAATTCACACACTGGATTTGCTGATGACCATACATTCTATCTTCTTCCATTTAATTAGTCCTTTCTTCATGCTTTCTTTTGCTACTTTGTATTGGAGTTTTTGTAGTTTTCATTCCAAATCTGACATCAGTACAGTATCATGTACATATCTTACATTGTTGAGGTTATGTTCACTTATAATAATTTCTGATAGTCATTACAGTTGTCTTTGTATTGTCTCACGGTAGAGGTTAAATACGAGAGTGGGCTGAAAAGTTCACTGACTGACCACAAAGTAGTGATTCTAGATCTGTGCTATCTTGTATGAACTTTTCAATTCACCCTAGTTTAAAGTGGCAAAAATCATCAACATCTAAATTTTCTTTCTTTTTTTTTCTTTTTTTTAATTTTTTTTAAATTTTTTGTCATTTATTTTCTAATTATCCCCCCACCCAATATATATAGATTTAATTTTGTTTTCATTTTGAATTCTTAAATTAATCAAAAATAATTATTTATTGAAAATAACTCAGATTGGGATTTGTTTATAATTGTTTTAGAATTTGCTTCAAATTTATTAACATTTTAAAAAAATTGTTTTTTTTTTTTCTGTTCAGGTGTGGAACTGAAGCATTGGTATTAAACTGGAACACTCGACTTTTAATTGTGGGTCCTGAAAAAGATGTTATCACATATCCTTTGCCTTCAAAGGCTCGCTCTTTTGTCTTTCTGTTCACTTAAATGCTTGAAAAGAACATTCTGTTCTTTGTTATAGAAAACATTTGCAGAAATTTTTTAATTTTCTTCAAATCTAAAAAGAAAGAGACATTGTTTACAATTGGACTAATATCCTCATCATTGCCGTTCTGATCAGAACTCTTCAGCCTTTGTGCTTTGTGATCTTCAGCTGACTTTTGATCTATGTAACAAACTTCAGAGGAATTCTGAACTTTCATTTAATCTACTGGGGCAGACTGTTCTCGTTCAACAGGCTATGTCGAGTGATATCTCATCTAGTTCTTTATTACTTATTGCTCACCTCTTTCCACTGAGTCCAAGTACACACTGCCCAACACAGGGATTGAACTCACAACCTCTGTCACCAAATTCACGGACCTACATTTCAATCTGCTAGGCCATTTTCCTATGGGACAATAGCCCAGTGGATTAGAGTTCAATCAATGGGTCAGGCAGTTGTGCTTGAATTCATTGGAAACAGGTGAATAATAACTGAGCATTACTAAAAATTATAACTAGACTAAATTTCCCTGGACATGAGCAGTGGAATGAGAATTATCTACTCACCCCCATGTCCATAGATTAAAAGGTTCAATTTGAAATCCTTTGTAGGTTACAAAGATCGACATACACCTGAGGAAGACTCAAGTGCATAACAGCTGAAACGTTGATTATATAAATTTTTTTATTCTCTACCAAATCTAAGTTCTTGTGTCAAACACAAAAACTTAGCTAGTAGGAATAGAAAGTCATAGTAGGTACTAAATTACAAAACAAGATACAACCACTATGTAAAATTTTAAAAGGAAAACATTTCTTACACAAATATAAAAAAAAGGTACAAATTTGCACAAAAATTTCCTCTTTGTTTGACTACTGAGGCAGGATAACAATTTCTGATAAAAAAGATTACCGTCAAAAAATGGAAAAAATTAAACTTTGGAAAAAGATAAGGATTTTTAAAAAAGATAAAAAGAGAAAAACAATTGAAGAAGGCAGAAAACAAAGGTGCAACCACCTTTAAGAAAAAATAAAGACACCTACTTTTACTTGCCCTGTGAGTATCATGGAATATACAGTAATTTTAGAAAAGTCACTTTTAAGTTCGCACTGTTCTTGCTTGGGAAAATGTCTTGGAATTCTTTTCATTATTTGTTGTCCAGGAGAATTTTCATTTGAAGTTGAAAATTTTTTAGTCTCTTTGTAGCTGGCTGGTAAGCTTATGCCATCTTTATGGTCCCTTCTTGATATCAAAAGCTGTCTGCTCTTTGATATTGATTTGCCTTGTCACCTTGCTGTCAAAAAAGTCTTCTCACCTTATCTACTGACACGAGTTCTATTTATTCCAAAAAAATAGGCTCACAGAAGTCCCCCATTCAGATTCTTACTAGGAACTGAGACTATATCTAACATTGGTCAGCATATACACAAAAAAATAATTATGATTTCAGTTTAGAAAGAGACAAGGATTCAATGACAAAAAGAGAAAACAATTCAAGAAGGCAAAAAAATAAAAATTCCACCAACTTTCAGAAAAATGAAAACATCTACTCTTACTTCCCCACAAGCATTTTGGGAACATATAGCAATTTTAGAAAAGTCCCTTTTAAATTCACAATTCATGTCTGGGAAAGTTTCTTGGAATTATTTTCATTCTTTGTTGTCCAACTGCAGGAGAATTTTCATTTGAATTTGAAAATTCTTTAGTCTCTTTGTAACTGGCTGGTAAGCTTATGCCTTCTTGATGCTCCCTTCTTGATGTAAACCTGCCTTTTCTCCTTGCTGTCAAAAAAGTCTTCTCACCTTATTTACTGACATGAGTTCTATTTATTCCAAAAAATAGGCTCACAGAAGTCCTCCATTCAGATTCTTATTGGTCAGTATACACAAAAAAAAATAATTATGATTTCAGTTTAGAAAAAGACAAAAGGATTCAATGACAAAAAGAGAAAATAATTCAAGAAGGCAGAAAAAACAAAGATGCAACCACCTTTCAATAAAAAACGAAAACACCTACTTTTACTTGCACCATGAACATCTCTGGGACACATAGTAATTTTTTAAGTCCCTTTTAAATTCACAATTCTTGCTTGAGAAAATTTCTTAGAATTTTTTGTTGTTCAATCCTAGAAGAATTTTCACTTGAACTTCAAAATTCTTTAGTCTCTCTGCAGCTTGCTGGTAACTGGTGCCTTCTTGATGTGCCTTTTGCTCCTTGATGTTGATTTGCTTTGTCCCCTTGCTGTCAAAAGGAGTTCTCCTCCTTGCATCTACCATATATTTGGAAAATTAGGCTCACAAGCACCCTGCCACATTCAGGTTGTTACTAGAGTTTGAGAGCACATCTCTCATAGGTATATATACAAAAAATAATTTTCCATAAACAGGAAATGGATCCTTAACAATTTTGGTGGATTTTAACCACTGAGCCAAAAAGAATATACAAGTGTAAAAAAATTTTAACACAATCTGGCTTTCATAAAAATACACTTCTTTGAAAAGAACATGTATTAAAAAAACAACCTCAATGATTAAATATTTATTCACAGCTAACATTTTTTAAAATAGTAAAAATAAAACTTTTAGAGCAATGATTCCCAACATGGGGCACATGCCTCACTGGTGGGGCATAGTAATATTTTGGTGGGACATGCATAGGATGTGCACCCTTCATCTTACTATACCAACAGAATAAGGGGACAATTTGAGAATGAGTTATTAACTGAATTGTTTTCTAGTGAGTTTGAGTGAGCGTGTTAATGTTAATGTGTATTAATACATACAATGCATATACAGTATACATACATAAAAATATTTTCTGTATATGTATATACATGTGTAATTGGCATACATGTAATAATTAAATATTACAGGTGAGCACCAGGATTTTAGAAATACCAAATTGGGGCATGGCCCCAAATCAGTTGGGAACCACCATTTTAGAGATAACAACAACAAAGGTGAGGACAATAGTTTGGATATAAATAGCGTAAAAAAGAAAAGAAATTGTTCCTTTTTATTTACATTATTTGGACTATTGTCCCCATCTTTGTCGCCATATTTATTACGTTTCAGCCATTGTATGCTCCAGCCTTCATCAAGTGGTTGGAATGTCGAACTGAACCCTTTATTTCACTCACTGGGGTAGACTGTTCTAGTTCCATATGTCATGTTTAATGGTTGTCAGTTATCAGTTATCTCCTGTTAATTCTCCTCTCCAAGTTCTCCACTGTGCCATGTGTCCTCAAGCACACATGGCACAGTGGATAAAGGCGTTAGTTAGATCCAGTGACAGGACCCAAAGAGTGTGAGTTCAATACCTGGCTAAGGCAGTGGTTAACTTTTAGAGAGAAATTAACAGGAGATAACTGGCATTCAATAAACATGGCACGTGGAACTAGAACAGTCTACCCCAGTGAGCGAAATAAAGGGTTCAGTTCAACATTCCAACCACCTGAAGAAGGCTGGAGCGTACAACAGCCGAAATGTTGTAATAAATATGTCGACAAAGATGAGGACAATAGTCCAAATAATGTACATAATACCTCATCTCAGAAATATATACAGATATTGTTCCTTTTTATTGATGACTTTTTCCAATCTGGGAAGCAGTCACTGTTATCCTGGACTGAGTGTTAGAATTCACAGAAATACATTAACATAAAACACTTTAAAGGCCACTTCCACTTCATTCCTATCTCTCTGGTTACTGGCCTTTCTGAAGATAAAGACATAATTTTCATTACTTTCTGTTCAAATTGTTTAATCACCTTAATTTACTCTACAAATGTCCTAGATACTCCAGTGCACCTGGTTGAGGAAATTGATGGTGTAAGAATTATCAGCAATTTGGTGCATGAATTTTTGGAAAAAGTTCCAGGTTTGTACCGTTTCTGTTTGCATTGTCATTTCTTAGAACAAAAAAATTTTTTATAAATATCAGGTTGGAAAGAAAGCCCATCTTTCTGCTTTTTTTTTGTTTTGCATATTTTTTACTGAAATAAATTTAAACTTGGCAAAGTTTTACATGCCTGCAAAAAAAAAAAACCCAAAAAACAGTGTATCAAAAGGATAGTTATTCACTTGACATTGCTATTACTGTGCACTCACTCGACAATTCTTATTCTTTCAAAAAGCTATTTCTATAATTTTAAGAAAACCTAAACATATGAAACTGGATTTGGGCACTTCGATGTGGTGTAATGATTAACAAGCTGGTTTTGCTAGATCAGTTACAACTGAATAGTGAGTTTGATCCTCACTGGGTGGCCCAAACTTTTGGCCTTGTGCTACATCTAAGCTAAGCTTAGAATATTATAAAACTAGACTTTTATATTTAGTCTTTTTTATCAGGAATAGCAGTGTCAAGAGAAAAACGTTTTTTAACACACTTTTTTCTTTTTTTTTTTTTTTTTTTTTTTCTTTTCTTTTCTTTTTTTTTTTTTTTTTTTTTTTTTCTTTTTTTTTTTCTTTTCTTTTTTCTTTTCTTTTTTCTTTTCTTTTCTTTTTTCTTTTCTTTTCTTTTTTTTTCTTTTCTTTTTTCTTTTTTTTTCTTTTCTTTTTTCTTTTTTTTTGTTGAGGCAGGACCAGGATTAATCTTGTACCAAGCAAAGTGGATCCTGCCTGACAGAGGATCTCTGTTTAAATCTCCACATATACCTTCTTTTTTTTGGGGGGGGGGTACAAATGTTAACATTTGCCTTCAACTGTTTCTTGATTTTTAAGTATTAGTATCCTTTTCATTTCCACTTTCTTTATACTTCCTCTTTGATCACATGTTCAGTCCATGGTATTCTCAGCATCCTTCTGTAGAGCCACATCACTTTCCCTTCAAACCTCTTAATCTGTAAGGAAATTGTCCGGCATTCACAGAAGGCTAAATATGACACAGCAGTTCAGCACTCTTCTTTGTATCTAAAAAAATTTTCCTATATCTCTCAAAGACAACTTTAGGATTTTTTGGGAGGCATCTAAAATGGAACACATCTAGTGAGACAATTTTTCTCTCCGGAATCTATCTTGCATATCTATGCCTACCATTCATCCATGCTTAGAATATTGCTGCCATATAGGATCCGGTGCCCATGCTATTTACCTTGATCTCCTTAATAAGATCTGAAGATGAATCTGCAATGTTATTGGTCCTGATCTGGTGGCTCAGCTTAAGTCACTTGCCCACCTCTGTAAGGTTGCCGCTCTGTGCCATTTTTATAAATACTTTCATGGTAATTGTTTGGATGAGATCTTCGCTTTGGTACCTAGACTGTATGAATTTAATCACAATACTAGACTGTCAGCAAGATCTCATCAATTTACAGTTGAAACTCCCTTCTAACTCCATGTTTTAATCTGCAAAAATTTAAATGCAATATCAATCGCTCTCTACTGTCCTCCTGATTGCTCTTTTCTCTTTCAACTCATTAAAAATATTTCTGTTTCTAATTCCTCTACACTCTGTAACCCCTTGTTCATAATCTTGTCAATAGCTGAATTCTTGATGCTTTGCTAGGGCTATCAACAGCGCCGTTTAGATGGATGTTATACACGTCTTTTAAGAAGAGTGCTTAATCTCTCATGGTGAAACCACCCAACTCTAGAAATGATATATGGAGACTTGCCGAGAGTATCAACCTTAGTTTGCAAGAGACGTGTCCAGTTCGCCGTGCATTGTGCACGTGCCACAGATGAACTTGTGTCATCATTTGTACTCTGGAGGCACCCATCATCTGACAATCGATCACGCAAGTTAACCTTTCCAGATAGGATAAAACAAGACACATTGATCCCTAAGGAAGATCTTTTAGGTGCTATGACAGATAGGGAATACTGGAGAGGTGTAGTGAGTTCAATCTCGGCTGAGGCGGCAAGATGATGATGTGATGTAATCCCTTGCATATTAGTGGCTGTATTGCCTTGCTTAGGGTGATACTGATTTAAAAAAAAATATCTAAGTTTTCAATATCTTTTATGGTGGATTTCCAAGTTTTGCATGCATATAAAGCAGTTGAGAGGACAATAGAATTATAAAATTTGAGTTTCCCCTCCTAGACTAATTTAATTTTATAGGCAGTACAATTATTTGCCACCACTTGTGAAACTAATGAAATTTTTTTTTTTTTTCTTTAAAGAGGTTACCCAGAATGTTTACAAAATATTATCCATGCATCCTGGTGCCATGTTGAGACAAGCATCTAAAGAATACCAGGTGAGTCTTCTTCTTCTTCTTCAGGGTATGAGGGTTCCTGGCTCTTCACAACGTCCTATTCTTTGTAGCTCTTAGCAAGGTTTGTCTTTTCATTATCTCTCCCAATCATTAGATAGATTACTTGCTGCTTTCCTCTGTCCTTCCTGTCTTCAATATGTCCTGTGAGTGTCAAATTCTCCTGGCCCTCTTTCCTCATTATTTGTCCGAGAAAATTCAATTATTTCTCTCTGATTTTAATGTATTATGACTTCAGATATTTGTTTTTTATTACTGTAGAACTAATGGCTCAGAATTTACTGCAATTACTAAGCATTTATGAGAATTTATTTATTTTTTAAATTTTAGTCACACACACTATTGATTTTCTCTTTGAAATCTACTGTAGATAATGTAATATCCAATATTAGAAACATTAATATAACTTCTCCGTTGAAGTCTCCAAGGATCTAATGATCACATGATATACAGTATCAGACTAAACTTGAGGAACCTGTAAAATATGATCTGTACTCTGGATATTATCCACCATCTTGCTTTTTCTGGAAGGATTGTATTCTGTGAAAAATACTTTGCACCACCCTTTGTCAAATAAACTAATTTTTTTTTTTTAACTATTTAATTTATAAGTTTGATTCCATTACTATAAGAAGGGCATTTCAACGTGGTGTAATGGTTAACAAGCTTGTCTTGCTAAATGAATTCTCACTGGGTGCCCCATGTTTTTGGACTAATACCACATCTAAAATACGCTTACAAAATCACCATAATTCTGGGAATATTTAATGAAATGGTATTGACCATTATTATCTTTTAATTCCTGATAGTAGCCTCCAGCATCAGAAAACATTAGTAATAAGTGAATTCAAAGATAATCAAAAGTACCGATAGTTTTGTATTCAGCCAGTAGCATAAGACTCTGATAATATCTTTGTATATATGTTTGCCTGTCAATTGCCTTGGCTGTCATCATGCCCTTGCCTGTCACCATACCCTTGCCTGTCAATTTCCCTGGCTGTCACCATACCCTTGCCTGTCAATTTCCCTGGCTGTCACCATACCCTTGCCTGTCAATTGCCCTGGCTGTCACCATACCCTTGCCTGTCAATTGCCCTGGCTGTCACCATACCCTTGCCTGTCAATTGCCCTGGCTGTCATCATGCCCTTGCCTATCACCATACCCTTGCCTGTCAATTTCCCTGGCTGTCACCATACCCTTGCCTGTCAATTGCCCCTGGCTTTCTCCACACCCTTGTCCATCTATTGCCCCTGGCTTTCACCACACCCTTGTCTGTCTATTGCTCCTGGCTTTCATCACACCTTTATCCGTCTATTTCTCCTGGCTTTCACCACACAGCAATAAATTGAAACTCTACAATAAAGTACATCTAATCTGACATGAAAGTTTAAACAACTGTTGTAATTTCCTTGGGAAATATCTACAAAATTTCCTTCTTTACTAATCTATTTCAGTTTAAATTTTACATTTTACATTTCTTTGTTGGCGTTTATTTTCATTTCATGCCATTTTTTTTTTTTATTTTCTTGCAATCAGCGTCGCAGCCAGCATGCTGATGAACATCTACGAATGATTGATCGAAAGGATGAAGCAGTTGACCAGTGTATTCGTGCAGCTGGCCATCAGCTAGAACCAAGTGAACAAAAAGAACTCTTACGGGTTTGTCTGTTTCATAATTTACATAAAATCAACTTAAAACTGATAAACTCATGCATAGTTAGTATAATGATTATTAAAATTTAAAATTTGTCCTTTTTTAAGTCTCATCTTTAATTCATATATATTTAAAATTAGCTTAAATGCTGTCCTATCTCGCTCATGCAGAGGGTCCTTGATTGGGCCTTCGTCACAATAGGTAGGGAGGAGTAGATGCAATAGGCAACAATAAACTATAGAAGAACTCAAAATTGATCAATGCATTTAAATATTGCATTAATAATTAAGCTTACCTTTTAAAAGTTCAATGATAATTCTTCTGTTACCTCTTAATTTAAAGACAATTTGATGTATGTAGGTCCTTACTTTCCATACAATTATTTTTATTTCATCGGTGACTTTCACTGGATTTTGCAATTAATTTCGATTATTCCCAAATTTACTTTCAAGTAATAAATATTGTTATTGTACAAAAAAATTTGTCGCAGAAAATCACGTAAAAAAAAAAATGCCAAAAACAATCGCAGTGATGAAAACTTGGGAATCCAAAATTTCAGGACTGTGTGTTCAGATCCAGCCTGGAATGTTTTTAATTTGCTCCGAGAATCATTCCAAAATGGTATCGATATGTTGGGCTACAGCCTCTGGGAGTAAATTTGAAAACATGTGACACAGTGATACACTGACATTGGTATTTATTATATAGATGTTTTGAGGGCGATGGGGGGGGCATTAAAATATTACCAACCAGATTTTCTTGAGAATTAACCAATTATTGATTACCTACATGCATGTTTTTCTTTCCAAATTGCTGTTATCCTTTGCTTTAATTTAAATGCATATTAAATTCATTTTAAATAAAGACAGCAAACTCCTACATCTCTAAAGAAAATGGTTCTTGAATTTACATGGTTTATATATTGATAATAATGATAATAATAATAAATGCTATATGCTTTCAGGATTTCTGTAATAAAGGTTCTCAATAGATTCCTTTCTTTATTATCTGAAACTTACCATTCCTTCTTCGGAAAGATAGTAGAATGGTTTCCTATTGGCTTCTCCAAGATTTTCACCTCAGAGTTGACATTCTATATTTAAGGCAATCATGGCTTTTGACAGATACCTTTGCTTTATTATCTGTAACTTACCATGCCTTCTTGGTATAAGTTGCCTTTTTCATGGTATGAATTTCATAATTTTTTTAGACTGGTTTCCATGCAAAGCAAGAGAACTAAATCTACTTTGCTATTTAACCCATAACTGGAGTTTTTTTTGTTTTTGTTTTTTTACAATAGAGTTCACTTTGTATAAGGCCCAAGAATAAGAGGCAGAGTCTATGGGGATATCTAGGGAAGATAACACTTAACTCTAGACTAGGTTAAGATTATAGTGATTGAAAAAGCATCCTCTTGGGAGTCAGTTTAATAAAACTATGGTTTGTGAGAAGAAGCTAGTCAAGTAGAATTTACATCTCACCAATGGAATACGAAAGAAATGAGGTTGGTTCAATGGCAGATCTTAGTCATAAAGGTTAGAACTGGTGTAGCTAAGTGATGCAAGGGAGACGAGATGGATTCATGCTTTTCTTCAGGACAAAAACACCAAAATTTGAAATCACTACTTTCTGCATCAACAACAGTAATGCTACTCCTACAACCTTTTGGCTTAATATTCATTATTTAAAAACAAAAGAAAAATAAAAAAGCCCTAAATACAATACCTGTGCTTTATGCTGCAAATATGCTGAGCAGACTTTAGCTACCATTTCTGGCATTATCTAGGTTGATCAACAGTCTGAACAAGGCCAGCAATGACTTGTGACTTTGTGCTAGCACAATCCTCGACAGCTTCCCAAACAGTTCCATCTACCCAATTTCATTCAAAAGACATTGGTCAACCTGTGGTATGGTTTTCAGGCACTTTCCAAAGGTACCCCCAGACCGATATCAACAAGAAATCACCTTCCTGACAAATTGACTATAGTGAGAATTAAACACAGGTCTCATGGTCAGAAAGCGAACATTCTAACCACTTGGCCACGTTAAATAATGAAAATTAAAGACTGCCTTATCTATAATATTATTCCATTTATTCCTTTCTATGTTCAAATCTGGTTTGAATAATCATGAAAGGAGGATGGTGAATTCTGCTTGTTCATGTGTACATTGTAATTAATTGTATCTTGCCAGTCTTGTTGATAAAGTAAGACCTAGACAGATATTGACTATGCAGATGACCTAGCTATTAATGCAGACACCATTACCAATGACTCAGTTCTACATCATCTAGGAAATGCTGCCAATGATGTTGGATTCTGTTAGGCTTATTTTCCATGAAAACAGAAAAATGGACAGGCCTACTTGAAACGAAAATCTCAATTTATAAATGGAAATTTTCTTATTTCTAACTGTAGTATATTGCTGCTGGGCTCAAATAAGGCAATAAACACTTATATATAAAAATATTTAAATATGTTTATCGTTCAAGTTGCAGTGGATGGGTAGAGTGAGGGAGAATCAAAGAGGTTAAGATTGCACACACAAGAATTGACGAAGACAAATCTTTGGTGAACGTCTAGCCAGCCTCTCTGTCCAGATCAAGAATCAGACTGGTTAAATAACATTTGAACACCTACACATGTATGGAGATTTTTTTTTTTTACAATAATGTTCACCTTGTACAAGGCACAAGAATAAGAGGCACAGTCTATGGGGATATCTAGGAAAGATAACACTTAAAGCTAGACTAGGTTAAGATTGTAGTGATCAGAAATGTTGGTATGTCACCTACACAACTTTGTGTGGCCACTCCTCTTCTGGCCATGTGCTCACACAACTTCGTGGCCACATCTCTTTCAGCATGCGCCCATGAAAGCACGCATTTCCTTCTGTTCAGGACACCTGTGCACCCTGTTTATTCTAGCCATTAGATTTCCTATTTATGCTATCACCAGTTCCAATTTCCACTCACATACTGATGCAGCGGAAGTAAGGCCTAAGGACTTTCCTCAACCGATATCTAACATAACAATTAGATTTATCAGCTGCCATTTTTATTTGTTATTATGTTTTCCTTTCTTAATTTACTTTTATTTATTTTTTTTTATTTTTATGTTTTATTTTATTTTTTATTTCATTATTTTTATTTTATTTTTTATTTTATTTTTTTGCAATTTATTTACTTTTTTATTTGATTCTTATATTTTTATTTTACTTTATATCTTTTTATTTACCAATTCTCTTTGTTTTCTTTCAGGCTGCTGCATTTGGCAAGAGTTTTCTGACTGATTATTCTGCAAAAGAATTCATGACAATGTGTCAAAAATTACGAGTTCTTAACCAGATAAGACATTACAGCATTGGAATTCCTCTTACATTTACACAGTATCCTTTTTTTTGATCACACTCTTTCCAGCTGTACAAGAAACTATGTTCATTATTACAGAATTCAACACTTAAATTAATTTCAGAATTGAAATTTATGCGTAGCAAGATATTCTCAGCGTCATTTGGTAGAACCACAACTCGAATGTTTTGGGACAAAATTGTCCCTTTTTTACTGCCATATACGAAAGTAGATATCACACAGCAGATAGAATTTGTCCCTTTTTTTACTGCCATATACGAAAGTAGATATCACACAGCAAATAGAATTTGTCCCTTTTTTACTGCCATATACAAAAGTAAATATCACACAGCAGATTGAATTCTTTTACTTAATTTCTCATAGGTTGGGTTGGTAGATTTTACAATATATTTTTACATCATCTCTACACTTGTTCAGATATTTAATCCAAAAATCTGTTTTTTTATTATGTTGTAGTTCATTTAAAGTGAATAAACCTTGTGCACCTTAAAGAAGGTTGTCCTTCTTCAGACCTCATAGACTGGCACTACTGAATTTACAAACAAAGAACTTTATCAAGTCACTTAAAGACTTCCAACAGCAGCAACAACTAAAATGCATAGCACATGTAACTTGAATTGAAAATAATAACATAATCAAGATGTTGATATTCCACACTACTTTAAATAAAAGGTTAGGAAGGAAACTTCCATCAATACTGAAAAGAGTGATAACAGCTACTGGATTTGGGGAACCTATTTTTGTGAAAAAATTTTTTAAGAAAAAGATTTTATAAATTTCAACCGGCAACAATACTGGATGCTCAGTTAATAAATAAGTAATTTGAAAAATTTAATAAATAAATGCGAAATGTTTCCTTATAAGGAAACAGCTAAAATAACCATTATCATAACAAGACCAAAATAAATGTTTGTATGACATGATTTCTTAAAATTAATCTGCTGTTCTGTTGCTTCACTGTATCATGCTAGACAATTTTTCTCTCCAGAATCTGAATACCCGCTCGGCCCGGTGGCTAGGATCAAAGTGTAGTATCTGTGCTTTGTGAGCTGTCGGGTGTCTGTCGAACTCTCTGCTTGCAGAAAGGAACCCGACGAAACTCCGCCCCAAGGGTGGGGTTTCGCTCGGGAGGTTGACGGAACTAGCCCGCTTTGGCGGGTTTAGATGGGTTTTATTTTTTGGTTGGGCCTACGGGCTCAGACATACCCACATTAAAAAGGCCTTGTGCCACATTCGGTCCCCGTGGGTGGATTGATAAATACCATCTATAAAAAGAATACCCGCTCGGCCCAGTGGCTAGGATCAAAGTGTAGTATCTGCGCTTTTGTGAGCTGCCGGTCGGGGTGTCTGTCGAACTCTCTGCTTGCAGAGAGGAACCCGGACGAAACTCTGCCCAAGGGTGGGGTTTCGTTCGGGGAGGTTGATTTGAACTAGCCCGCTTGGACGGGTTTAGATGGGTTTTATTTTTGGTTGGGCCTACAGGCTCAGACATACCCACATTAAAAAGGCCTTGTGCCACATTCGGTCCCCATGGGTGGATTGATAAATACCATCTAATATATCTATAAGTCTACCATTCATCCATACTTAGAATATTGCCCTCCACATTTGGTCCAGTGCTCTTGCTATTTATCTAGAGCTCCTTGTTAAGCTCCAAAGAAGAATCAGCAATATTATTGACCTTCTTCTGGCATCTCAGCCCCAGTCTCTTTCCTACTGCTATAAGGTTGTCTTCGTTCACCTTTTCTATAAATACTTTCATGGTAATTGTTTGGATGATCACTTCTTTACGGTGCCTAAAATTTGAATTTAAGCACAGTACAGGACTGGTAATGAGGTCTCATCAATTTACACTTGAGTTGGCTAGATGTAGTCATAAATTAAATGCTAAGTTTCTTTTCTCATCCTTCTCACTTGTGGAATTACCTTCCATGCTTTCTAGCCAAGTTTAATCTGCAAAAATTTAAATGCAATGTCAATTACTATCTGCAGTCCTCTAAATTACTCTTCTTTTGTTTTCATTCCTTAGCAATGTTTCTATTTCTAGCTTTTGCACACTCAGTAATCCCTTGTGTCTTAGTGGCTTTACTGCCTTACTTGGGACAAAATTGATTTAAAAAAAAATATAAAATAAATTTAGCTCATTTGTTAATACAGGTTAGGAAATATGGTTTCGGAAATTAACAATTTTTATAAAGTTGTTCGTATTTCAATACGCAGTATTAACACTGGTGTGTCTAGTTGTTCATTTTACTGGTGTTAATACTGTATATTGAAATATATTGTTACCCAGTTGTTGACGCAATCAGGCACTCCTAAACGGTAAATGCGTTAAAATTGCAGTCATATTTAAGTGCTTCCAGCCTGAAAAGTTTAAATTACAAAAACAAAAAATATTCAATATGTATATTTCTAAAAAAATATGCATTTTTAGAAATACAAAATTTTGGCAAACAAAAGGTCAGTTTTTCCCTTGACAATGCTTGCATTTTAACTACCTTTACTTCTCAGCAATGTTCATCATTTTAAAAAGTGATGATTAGAATTGTAATAAAACCTAAATGTACGATGAAAGTGAATTTATACTTTTTTTTTTGTTTTTAAGAATTTACAACAAAAATATTAAACCCTATTTACTAGATTGTTTATTCACTATAATAATTTTATATTTACAATATTCTAAAAACTAATACAATTAAAACTAATGCAATGTAATATTTATCTCTCTATTTTTCTGAGACGAGGTATTATGTACACTATTTACAAGGACACATGGCACAGTGGATAAAGGCATTAGTTAGATCCAATGACAGGACCCAAGGAGTGTGAGTTCAATAACCGGTTAAGGAGAGGGGAATTAACAGGAGATAAACTGATAACTGACATCCATTAAACATGGCACGTGGAACTAGAACAGTCTACCACAGTGAGCAAAATAAAGGGTTCAGTTTGACATTCTAACCACCTGAAGAAGGCTGGAGTGTACAACAGATGAAACATAATAAATATGGTGACAAAGATGAGGACAATAGTCTGAATAATGTAAATAGTGTAATACTTATCATTTACCAATTTATAAAGAAATAAATATGAAATTTTTATTCATGAATTTATAAACATTTACTAAAAGGAAGAGGCACAGTGGCGTAATGGTTAGCGGCTCAGATTGAGGAATCAGAGAGCCAGGTTCAAATTCCATTCAAATCCATTACATTCACCTACATGCTAATACTCTTCGAAAAAGTATCCTCTTCTTCTTCTTCCAGCTATAGGTAAATAGCAGGACAAACTGGGTTCTATAGCTTTGGATGACAGCTGGTCTAGGAGAAGGACAACTCTGAATTCAAAACCTGTGAAGTGCACCAGATCTTTGTATTTGGCCCTTCAAACAGTGTGGTTGGTTCTGCACAAAGCTTTGTGCTGGTGTCTGGTCTGTCGGTTTTTAGGAACTGTACTGCATGACCCTCATACATCAAATATGACGAGAGAGTCCACCACTGAATTATTAAAATATGTGAACCAACTATAAAGAAATCCTTATTTACTATTTTATAAAGTTTAAATCAATTGGCAATTAGACAAAGTTTTGCCAAACATTCCAATAAACAATAAATAAATAGTGTAAATAAAAAATTTAATAAATAAATAGTGTGTAAATTCTCAAGAACAACAAAAATGTATAAATTCACTTTCATATGTTTAGGTTTTATTTCAATTCTAATCATTGCTTTTTAAAACAATAAACATTGCCAAGGAGTGAAGGTAGTTAAAATAATAATGGTGTCAAGGGAAAAACCGTCCTTTTGACATTCCAGTTATTTTTTTTGTGTTTTTTTTTTTTTTTTTAATTTAGATGTAAAGGTCCATGCTTGCCAAAATTTTTATTGCACTTCTGAACTTAGCAAGTTTGATACATAAAATGTAAAAAAATTGGGTATGCCTGATTTCATAGATATATTCTTTTATATTGTCTGAAGTTTTCTCTTGTTGATAGTGTTCTAATGTGCACCCATAGATTTTACCTATCTGTAGTGTGTTACCAACCTTGACGGTTTATAGAATGGAGACGTTAACCATAGAAGTTGTTATTGACCGTCTGGTCCTTCGGAAACACTTTTTCCTGGCCATTCGTATTTGTCAATTCCTGCATATTCATGACACAGAGGGTGTCAGCCGTATCCTAGCCCACTGGGCTTGTTATAAGGTAAGCTGAAATTTCAATTGAATTGTGTCTGTGTGTCTCAATCAATGCTTTGATATTCAGGGGAATAACACAAGATTCACTATTTATTTATTTACTTATATCTACCGGCCTGAATATTTGAGAAATCTTATTAGAAAAATTAGGTAGGTAAATGTAAATAAGTAAATGGAGCTTCGACTCAAACATAGGTATCCACTAAATATAATTGTCAGATTAATAAATGAAAAATCCATTCCTAAAAATTGTCTTTATGTTAGAATATGAGTAGAGATGTATATTTCGAGAATCTGGAAAGGTCTGTATTCAAAAAACTATCCAGGCTTTGCTTGACCATTAGGTTCTCATTAGGTTCTCTGTAGCCAAGCGGTTAAAAGCATGCCAGATCTAATGATAGTTTTCTCTAGGGGAACATAGGTTCGAATCCTGTCAAAGAACACATATTTTTTAAAATGATTTCTCGAATATTCAGACCAGTAGACGAAAATAAATATACTGTTTAATAAATAAACAGAGCTTCTATTCAAATATGGGTATCCAGTAAAAATAACATTTAAGCAATAAAATAAAAATGTCAGATTAATACATGAAAAAAATCTATTTCTAAAAATACATACATATATTCCTTCCCTGCCGTGCGACGATGGTCCAGAGGTAAGAGATCTGACTTACGTCAAATCAGTTGGGTTTCAATACCAGTTTTTTATTTTTATATATATATATATATATATATATATATATAATTCTATTCAAATATATTTAGTTGAAGCCATAAAATTGTTTTCAAAACATTTAGCTTTTGGTATTAAATAACTCATAGAGGTTGATATGCTGCTAAACTAAACCAACAGCCTCTTCGTGAACAAGTCTTGCAAAGATTTTTTTTGAAGTTGTTTGCTTAAACCTGAATTTACCCAGCCATGAAAGGTGTATGTGATGAGTGTATACATTTTTTTAATTTGAACCATTGAGTTAGTAATTTTATTTCTTGTTTCAGGTACAGCAAAAGCATGAAAGTGATGAATCACTTGCTTACGCCATCTCCCAAAAATTGGGAGACACTCCAGGTGTCTCTTATTCAGAGATTGCCAGTAAAGCTATAGATTGCGGTCGGGAAGAATTAGCAATTGGGCTTTTGGAATATGAACCCAAAGCCTCAGAACAGGTTCCATTGCTAATGAAAATGAACAGAAATGAGTTGGCACTTTTGAAAGCCATTGACAGTGGGGATACAGATCTTGGTAAGTTTTTTTTTTTTCTTTTACTTGAAACTCTTTATTGTAAGTAATCAGACTTCTTTCCATGCTTTAATAATTTTAACACTCTCTCTCTCTCTCTATATATATATATATATATATATATATATATATATATATATATATATATATATATTCTGTTTATGTGTTATTTTTGATAGATGCAATTTATTTAAGTAAATGCTCTGTTTTCTAGATAAACAGTATTAATTACATTTACTAGCCTGAACATTTGATAAATTTCATACAAAATATGTACTTCTCTGACGGAATCGAACCTATAACCTATAAAGGGAGCCATCATTTGAGATCTGATGTGCTGTTAACCACTCAGCCACAATCAGATCAAATGACGGTTCACTTTGGGGTTACAGGTTTGATTTCTGTCCTTGATTTTTATCCACTAGGCTATGTGTCCTTGAGGAATCATGGCCCAGTGGATAAAATTGTTGGTTAGATCTCGTTACTTGACCGAAAAAGTTGTGAGTTCAATACCTGGCTATGGCAGTGATGAACAAAAGCTTGGAGAGTAAAGTTAAAGGGAGATAACTGAGACATCCAGAAGAGGTATGTTATGTGGAACTAGAGCAATCTACCCTGGTGGATGAAATAAAAGGTTCAGTTCAAAATTCAAATCACCTGAAGAAGGTTGGAGTGTACAATGGCAAAACATTGTGAACATGGCAATAAAGATGAGGACAACAGTCCAAACAATGTAAATAACCATTTCTTCTATTGTACTTCTCACTTGTGGGACTCTCTTCTGGCTTCTTGCTTCCCAGTCAACTTTACATTTAAATTTTTGAAGATCAATGTCAATCATTATCTTCTGTCTTCTTAATTCTTATTCTTTTGTTGTCCTCTCTCCTTAATAGTATTTTTTCTCATTCTCTAACACTTGATAACTTGTTGCATCCTAGTGGATTTATTGCCTTTCTTGGGGTGAAATGATTAAAAAAACTCATATGGTCAAGGTACCAAGAAGGAAAGCTCATCAGAACAATTGCAATGAAAATGTTTATAGAAAAGACTGGGGGGAAGCTACATCATGGCAGTGGAAAAATGACTGAAGCTGAGATGCCAGGTTAGTGATTCCCCTGTATTCGTGGGTGTTAGGGAACAGAACCGGACATGAATAGTTAGAATCCGTGAATAATTGTAACCCTCCCCTAAAAGTGCTTATAAGTACCTATTTTGATTGTTAAAACCCCATATACCTTAAACTTTCATCCTAAACACTTTAGAAATATTTCAGACCCTTTTTAAAAGATTTTTGAAAAATAGTATTGGTGACCATACTTAGCATAAATTTTCTTTCATACATACAACTGTTTTTAATTACGCATAGATCGATACAACCATTGAAAATACTGTATAAAATACGTGTAACAAGATATCTCTATCTATAAAAGGCAGGATGTCTGTGTGTGTGTGTGTGTGTGTGTAACAAATGCATAGCTGCAATTTTCGACGGATTTACACTAAAATTTACATGCACATGCTCCAAGTTAGCGGGAAGGCCAAGACCGACTTTGCATTTCCCAACTCCCATCGATAGTGGAAATAATCGATATTTTCATGCTTCTATGGCAGTTTTCATGTAGTTTGCAGCCATTTTGTACTGGCCAGAGTGAGAACCAATAGCTGGCTGCCACGAATAGGCAGGAAGATTCTATTGGCCAACATGAGAGCCAACAGCTGACTGACACGAATGTTAACTAGCATGCTAGCATGCAAAAAAAACGATAGCTGCATTCATCACAAGTGGGGAAAAAGTTAAATCTGCATGGCACTTTACTCCAATTGGCTCATTCACTTGCTTAAACTCAACATTGATTCTGATTCCGTAGAACTGGGTTGGGTGTGAAAAATTATTTGTTGTTAACATTCTTTTTTCATTTGGTTTTTCCAGTTAGGAGTCCTTTTTTAAAGCTGATCGTTTTGTGTTCATTTTGTTTAGTTCTTTTTTAGTAACAGATTCAATGTTTAGTATCGAGCTTCGAAAAAATTCGCAGTGTGAGATAGGCAAGAAGTAAGGCATGTAGCAACATCAGCATGGCAAAGGGCACTCCTTTAAAGGCAAGGAAGGTCAAAAAATATTTTAAATCAAGTGATAGCGATTGCTGTATGAGTTGTACAATTTTTGAATCAAGCACGGGCAACGCCGGGCCATGCTGCTAGTAAAAGACAAAGCTTAAAATCTTTTCTAAAAACAAATGCCCCTAGACTTAGTATATGTCACTTTTAAAACTCCACTTACAACCCCTTTTGCATTTGTTTTTATATGAAGATGTACAATTCTGCCAATTTTTACCATTAAAATGGACTGTTATTAGGTTGGTGCAAAAATGATGTAATAATGTTTTTTTTTTTTTACGTTAAAAAATACGTCAAAAAACGACATTATTACGTCATTATTTTTGCACCAACCTAATATATGTTTTAAGTCACTTAAATAACAGGAAAATAATACAAGAACATTTAAATATGTTCTAACGAAAAAAAAAATGCGAATCAACGGAGTTCTTAGCGAATAATTTGTACATATGTTCTTCAGAAAAACACATGAATACTTGGGGTTTCCCTGAATAACAAAACAAGTACATATGTTCTAAAGAAAAAAATCCGTGCATGTGTTAAGCTGCGAGTGCTGAAACACGAATAAACGAGGGCTCACTGTATTACAGACCCCTTTTTTAAAGAGGGGTGGAGGGAAATGATAACAAAGTTGGAACAAAAATCAAGTTGTTGCTTTCCAGGACAGTTCCAAGATGATGATGAAAAAAGTTAGTCAAGAGCTCTGCCTTTTATTAGGTTGGTGCAAAAATAATGACGTAATAATGTCGTTTTTGACGTAACGTCAAAAAACGACATTCTTACGTCATTATTTTGGCACCAACCTAATACTTCAGGGATGTCTTCTTAATGTATATGCTGCCGAACAAGGTGACCCCAAATTTTCAAGTTAAAATCGAAATGCTTCGCACTGTATTCGCCGTACAAGACGACCTCCCCACCAAATCGTATATTTAAAATATTTTATATTGAATTTATTAAATAAAATCAGTAAGCATTTACTTTCTTTTCACTCAAATTCTAATGGAAAAACGGTGTGGAGATAATGTCAATTAACTACCACAATCTACAATAACTCTTGAGTGGGTACTGTGTTTCCGGTAGGCTATTACGGTAGCCTGAAAGATTTTCACCGCAAACCATTCACTCATTCCAATGTTCTTGAATACGATACGTAAATGGCATATTGAGACAACACAGCTATTTTTCTTTTTTTTTTTTTTTTTTCAACATCATCAAAAAAAGGAAGCGAGATATTGTCAATTAACTGCCACAATCTAGTGTATAATGATAGTTTTCGTTTTCTCTCTTGATGAATATGCATTTTATTGTTGTCGTGCAATCATGCAATATATTATATACGGTAAGAGTACTTTTATTACACTATTATAATAGTATGAATTAAGTTGTTTCAGTAGAAAATATGATATTTGTTGATAGTTACCAAGGTAAGGGTTAACCTACCATCAAAAATTTCCCATACTAACATCTTACCATAAACTACAGGATTTAAGGTTCACATTTTATATATAGAGTATAAGACAGCCTCCTATTTTAGGCAAGATTTTTTTTAAGGTTAAAAGGTCACCCTGTACACTGACATATACGGTAATTTGATGTATATCATATTACTCTGTATACAATACATTGAGCTCTCTTCATGGATTTATATTTTTAATAATTTAAATTAAAAAGACCAACTTGGATTATCCTTTCCACTTACAGATTTGATGTTATCTATCTATATATATATATATATATATATAATGTTATAGATTTCTGGAATATAATCCTTTAATTCTCTTTCAGTGTATACAGTATTATTAAAGTTACAAGATTCTAATGCAACAGATTTGCACCGACAAATCCGGAATCTTCCAATGGCATATCATCTCTACCTGCAGGTAAGCCGTGTTAGTTTGTCAAGTTATTGTATTAAGGGAAAAGAGAAATTTCTGTATGAACTAATTGCTTAAAATCAAATTAAATGGTATGATAATTCTTTACCAAATTTATCCACTACTTTCTAGTGTGTGGGATTACCCCGACTTCGTTTGCCTGGTTTTCCATAATGTCATTAAGTGGCACTGTTAAAAACATCATCATCAGGGTAGGTAGATCACTTAAAGTCGAATGCTTATCATCATCATAAAAACTTCATCATCATAATCAGGGTAGGTAGATGACTTAGGAAGGTTGAATGCTCATCATCATCATCCTCATAAAAACATCATCACCATCATAATCAGGGTAGGTAGATGACTTAAGAAAGTTAAATGATGATGATCATCATCATCATAAAAACATCATCATAATCAGGGTAGGTAGATGACTTAGGAAGGTTGAATGCTTATCATCATCATAAAAACATCATCACCATCTTAGGAAGGTTGTTAAATGATGATGATAATCATCATCATCATAAAAACATCATCATCATCATCAGGGTAGGTAGATGACTTAAGAAACTCGAATGCTTGAACTATATTTCTTCCAAAATGAACATTGGACAATTTATGATGGAATTTCATCCTTATGTGAAAAGGATTATTTGGAAAAGTTGATCAATAAAATTAATCCTGTTGTTTTTAGTATTTTTATCTGTACAATTAACTTTACTACAACATTTGAGAAAGAATTCTGCTTTTTAAATCAAAAAAAAGAATGTGGAATAAAAGCTAATGCAAAATCAAAAGTAACTTTTTAACAACCGGTTCTAATGCAAGACCTGTTTGAGTAATATCTGTTAAAATAGTAAAATATATCCTGGGTATGATGATAAACTACATCCAGCAGCATGGCCTCTAATCAGGAGGTTTTGAGGAGCATGGAACCATTTCTTAAGTGCTGTTGTTCCCAGGTCCACATTGACCCGGGGTAGTAGCACCTGTTAGCTATCGGCAAATACTGACCCCCCCTCACACCAAAGATAAAAAATAAAACACTATGAAAGTATAAAAATACATTTTTATAGTAAAAATTACCAACAATATGCACATACTAATAAATTGTAGTGACTTCACCCAAATCTGTTTAAAATACTACCAAGCAACCAAAATGAAAGAACTTTCATGATATTACTCCATATAATATCTTACAATTGATATTACAATTGATATTACTCCATATAATATCTTACAATTGATATTACAATTGATATTACTCCATATAATATCTTACAATTGATATTACAATTGATATTACTCCATATAATATCTTACAATTGATATTACAATTGATATTACTCCATATAATATCTTACAATTGATATTACTCCATATAATATCTTACAATTGATATTACTCCATATAATATCTTACAATTGATATTACAATTGATATTACTCCATATAATATCTTACAATTGATATTACTCCATATAATATCTTACAATTGATATTATCATATAATATCTTACAATTGATATTACTCCATATAATATATACAATTGATATTACAATTGATATTACTCCATATAATATCTTACAATTGATATTACTCCATATAATATCTTACAATTGATATTACTCCATATAATATCTTACAATTGATATTACTCCATATAATATCTTACAATTGATATTACTCCATATAATATCTTACAATTGATCTTACAATTGATATTACTCCATATAATATCTTACAATTGATATTACAATTGATATTACTCCATATAATATCTTACAATTACTTAAATTAAACTGTATTCTGAAATATAACTTCAACAAAAACAAAATGTTGCCTCTAGTAATTATGTCCACATAAACATGTATATGCGCAAAAGCTGCGTATCATCTATCATGTATTCAACTGTGAAAGCAGAATAACATGTCATATTTTTATTAATTCAAAGCTTCCAAGGAAATTAAGTTTTGGCATTAAATGATCCACAAGGAATTGATTTACTGTTAAACAAACAAATCGATCAATTCTCAAATTATTTTCTTTCATACATTCAGATACCTTTTTTCTTTTCTTTTTTTTTTTTTTTATTGCATTTCTGTTGACTTTTCTCTATTACACTAATTCACTTGCTTTTGTTGTCATTGTTAGTATTGTCGCCAGCAGAACCGTAAGAAGATGCAGAACATTTATTATTCTGAAGACAACTACTTAGAAGAAGGAACTTGTCACGTGATTGACAGTTATTCATATGAGGTAATTATAAACATTTCTACACACTTTGATTGCAAAATCAGTTGATTCACATCAAATACTTTTGACATAAAATCTAAAATGCAGCTAAATCTTTCTTCTGTTGGATATTTACAAATGTGTGTGTGTGTGTATCCTCATATATATATATATATATATATATATATATATATATATTTCCAAATGTAAAAGAATGAAGAGTAAGATTTCAGCGTTCAAAACATTAATTTAAAACAGAGCAGAATACAAAAGTAGAACCGTAAATATTTATTATGCAGTGTTACATTAAAAAAAGTTTTATTTAACATTGAAACAAGACGTACAGTTTTGTAGTGGGTATGTGCATGTTCTAATGTAACACTGCATTATATATATATATATATATATATATATATATATATATATATATGTGTGTGTGTGTGTGTGTTTTCCTGTTATTTTTAAGTTTCAAGTTTCTGGCAAATTTGAATTAAGCAAGACTTAGGGAATTTAAGATTCACAGGACACATAGTCAAGAAGGGAGAAGAATTGGAAAATGTAACACTCACTGAATAGACCAGTTGCCATCCAAGGCTATAGAACCCAGTCTGACCTGCTATTTACCCATGACAGGAGTGGGGAAAATAAGAGGATTCATACCTTTCCCAAGGCAAATAATATATTTGACACATAATGAGAAAAAAATGCTTGGAAAATTTGACACTCTGAATACATTGAAGACAAGCCAGGAAGAGGAAAACAGCAAATAACATCAGTCAGTTATGTGCCATATTTGATACATGCTTAGGCAATCTTTCAATACATGACTGACGAGGCAGATTTTTTTCCCACAGTATGTTGCCATTTCTTTCTGCGGTAGACCGTTTGCCATCCAAGGCTATATAACCGGTCTGTCCTGCTACTTACCCATGGGGGGGGGAAGAGGATTTATACCTTTCCCAAGGGTATTAACATATAAGGGAATTTCAGTCAGTTATGTGCCATGCGTGATACACGCTTAGGCAATCATTTATCTTTCGATACATGACTGACGAGGCAGATTTTTTCCCACAGTAAGTTGCCATTTCTTTCTGCAATAGACTAGTTGCCATCCCAGTCTGTCCTGCTATTCACCCATAACAGGGGTGGGGAGAATAAGAAAATTCATACCTTTCCCAAGGCAAATAACATACTTGACATATAATGAGAAAAGAATGCTTGGAAAATTTTGACACTCATTGAAGACAAGACAGGCTGAAGAAAACCATAACTTGACAAATTTATTCAAAATGGATGAAGGAAGAAGCACCACAATTAGATGTGGGAAAGAGCAAAAATACCAGAAGCTGTGTAGAATCACGTTCATCCACATCCTCTCTAGGGACATAGAATATAGGGAAATTCACCATTCTATGATTATATTTTTAGTGTCTCATTTTTTCTGATAATTTTTTTTTTTGAAATTACTATTCACACAGTTAATTTTCTTTTAGCTTTTTCATGTCTTTTTTGATGAACCACTGTCATTGTATGGTGTACAGATACAGTCTTTTAATGGTCCTATTTTCTGATGTACCAAACAAAGAAATTATTGAAAATTATATTAGGAAAGTTGGATCTACATGGAAAGAATATATGAAGAAGCTACAATTTGTATTAGACAACAAATTGAGTACACAAAAATAGGAAGTTGAAAGCTTTGATAAGGACTTGTTTTCTCATTGGATTTTATTTAACAAAAGATGATTCCATCAGAATAAGATAAGCTACCAGGATCTATCAGCAGATTTTGCTTTAACAACATTTCCAAGATTGATTTTATTGTATTTATAGATTCAGAAAGAAAATTAGACAAGATAGTTGAATAAAGGAAAAAGGATTGATTATTAGAAGTTGGAATGTATGATGGGTGAGAAAAAGTGTCATCTCCAAGATATGGATTAAAAATCAGAATTAGATGAATGCAAAAAGGAAGCTGTCAAGAACCATGATCACCCACCTTGGATCAGTAAAACTTCCAAATATCCAGCCAACTATCAGGGAATGGTGTCCAGCCTACAGAAAGCTAAAAATGAAAGACAATGTTCTGGTTAAACTCTGTAACAGAAATATCTACTATACTACTCCTTAAAAAAATAAAAACCCTTCTCCACCATCTCAAACAGAATGATAATGCATTTTATACATTATTTACATTATTCAGACTATTGTCCTCATCTTTGTCGCCATATTTATTACAACGTTTCGGCCATTGTACGCTCTGGCCTTCTTCAGGTGGTTGGAATGTCGAACAGAACCCTTTATTTCGCTCACTGGGGTAGACTGTTCTAGTTCCACATGCCATGCTTGATGGATGTCAGTTATCAGTTATCTCCTGTTAATTTCCCTCTGAAAGTTCTCCACTGCCTTAATCAGCATGAACTCACACTCTTTGGGTCCTGTTGCTGGATGTGACCAACGCCTTTATCCACTGTGCCATGTGTGAACATATTTTTGTAAATTAAGTGTACCACAACTATTGAATACTAATGGGTATGTCCCAATCCTCATAAATACATTGGACACTATTGTAAGTGTGGGATAATATACTGTCTAAGTAGTCGACCACTAGCAGTGGTTTACCTACTTCATGCCGCTGGCGAGTATTGTATTTTGTTGATGTTATAAAGATTACTATTTCATTTCCAACCTCCGTTTTGGTTATTACTCATTGAGTTATCCTTCTTAGGTTTCAACAGTATTAAAAAAATTGTTGTAATCTAGGGAAGGTTACTGAATAGAATAATCAAATGAAAGTTGGTAATGAACGATAATACTTTGGACAAGAACAACACATATAAGATTTGGCAGCGGCATGTAGAAGAAGTAGTTAAGTGCTAGAAGTGAGTTAAGTGAATTCCACAATGAATCGCCAACTCTAGACCATGTACAGTATTTACTACTGTATTTATGGGAATGGGGGCATACCCATTATCGTCCGTAGGTATACTACAACAAAAATAGAGCATTAATAGTGAATATAAGAATAAAAAGTTTAATGACTTACCATTTGACTTAGAGTTTTGCAAACATAGATCTGCTTGTGACAGATAAGATATGATATATATTTCATAAATATGTCTGTATAATAATCTGTAATAGTAATTGAGATGGGGGCACTGTGGTGTAATGGACAGTGGCCCAGATTGAAGAATTGGGGAGCTGAGTTCAAGTCAGGTTCATTGCATTCACTTACATGCTAATACACTTGAGATTTGTATGAATCGATCTCTTTCCCTCAGCCTATGGGTAAATAGCAGGACAGACTGGACCCTATAGTGTTGGTTGGCAACTAGTCTAGGAAAAGGAAAGACTCTGAATTCAAACCACTTGCTGCCTTGTAGGTTCTGCCTCTTTAGGTTAAAAGTTATATTCTAAAATAAATCCACCTTGCATGTTCCCTCCTCCCACTTTGAGCCGTGACAGAAAATAATGGACTCCTCAAGGGAGGTACAATGGTTCAAACAAAAACAAGAATGGGACACAGCATGATGCCATAGACCTCTCTGATTTCAGCCCATTCACTCATTATTTACATTATTCGGACTATTGTCCTCATCTTTGTCGCCATGTTTTTTACAACGTTTCGGCCGATGTACACTACGTCCTTCTTCAGGTGGCTGGAATGTCAAACTTAACCCTTTATTTCGCTCACTGGGGTAGACTGTTCGAGTTCCACGTACCATGTTTAATGGATGTCAGTTATCTCCTGTTAATTTCCCTCTGAAAGTTCTCCACTGCCTTAACCGGGTATTGAACTCACACTCTTTGGGTCCTGTCACTGGCTCTAACCAACGCCTTTATCTACTGAGCCATGTGTCCTTCACTCATATCAACTATGGCACTTTAGACACGATAATATAACATGCCTTCTCAGAAATAAAGAACTAACAATCCTTTCAGGTGGCACAATGGAGTAATGATTAGCAACTCAGATTGAGGAATCACAGAGCAGAGTTCTAAACACACACACACAGACATGGTTGAATAGAAGGACAGAACCATTGTACCAATCTCGTGGAGTCCATTATTTTAAACTGCAACAGAAAATAAGAAATTATTGGAATTTATATTGGGAAAGTTTGATCTACATTATTTGTATCATTTATTGCCCTTTAGACGACAAATTGATAATAAATATCAGTTATAATAAAAAATAATTCTAAATGTAAATTTTATATTGTCTTACAGCAAGTCATAGGTGCATTGACATAAGTTTTGTCTGAAAGTATTAAACTGTTAGCTGCAAGAATATCTGCTGTACCTACAGAATGATTTTTAAATCGGTTTCGCATTTTGCCTTCAAGGTGTGAGGGTAAAAGGATTTCTACTGTAGTTGGAATAGTCTTGCTACAATTTCATTCTTGATATTATTCCAAAGATTAAAAAAAAAATTTTATCTGCATTCAAAGAACCACTGCTCTCTTACAACAAATTACATGCGCAGTTGATATTTGTAACTACTTCAATACAAAGTAACACTAAGTAATAAACAATCATATATATATATATATATATATATAACTAGCAGCATGGCCCGGCATCACCCGTGCTTGAGTCAAAAATCGTACGACTCATACAGCAATCGCTATCACTTAAAATATTTTTGCCCTTCCTTGCCTTTAAAGCAGTGCCTTTTGTCGTGCTGATGTTGCTACATGCCTTACTTCTTGCCTATCTCACACTGCAAATTTTTTCTAAGCTCTATACTAAACGTTAAATACTTTTTCACACCCAACCTAGTTCTGTGGAATCAGAATCAACGTTGAGTTTAAGCAAGCGAATGAGTCAAGTGGAGTAAAGTGCCATGCAGATTTAAATTTTTCCCACTTGTGACGAATGCAGCTATCAATTGTTTTTTTTTTTTTTTTTGCATGCTAGTTAACATTCGTGTCAGTCAGCTGTTGACTCTCATGCTGGCCAATAGAATCTTCCTGCCTATTCGTGGCAGCCAGCTATAGGCTTTCACTTTGGCCAGTACAAAATGGCTGCAAAGTACATGAAAACTGCTGTAGAAGCATGAAAAAAATCGATTATTTCCACTATCGATGGGAGTTGGGAAATGCAAAGACGGTCTTGGCCTTCCTGCTAACTTGGAGCAAGTGCATGTAAATTATGGTGCAAATCCATCGAAAATTACAGCCGTGCATTCGTTACACACACACACACACACACACATCCTGCCTTTTATAGATAGAGATAATCTATAGTAATGTATATCTATAATCTATATTATAATTTTATATTTTCTTTTATCATTTCACCCCAAACAAGACAATAAAGCCACTAACGTGCAAGGGGTTACTGAGAGTGAGAGAAACTGAAAAATATTATTGAGAAGAAAGAATAGTAAAAGAACAGGATTCAAGGAGATAGAAGATGGCAATTGATGTTGCATTTAAATCTTTGAAGATCGTCGTTAACATATTGGCACCCAAGCCTCATTTCCCTTGTTGTCCGAGGGTCCCAACTAAGTGGTCTTAACTAATTTTGGTACAAGTAACTTTGTTTTAACATTGTTCCATATATGAAGGAAGGATATCATAGATAGTATTTATTATCCACAACCAACAGTGTGTCGTTTGTTACCCGAGTCCATTTTACACAAATGCATGGTACAGTTCTGTGTATATAAAAACGAAGAAAATGATTAAAAAAAAACAAAAAACAATTGTAGAAATTCCAAAAATAAAATAAAAAAAAAACTCAATTTTTTTTTTTTTTTTTTAAGAAAATGTGGTCTAGGTTGATTTCATAAGCAATCAATCATAGCATCCCACCCCCAATAATCCAGATAAAAAAGAAATTGGAAGACAACCCACCAGAGGTTTGTGTGGGCCTAGAAGACATACCACCTTGACTATCCTGTGGGTTTTGTGGGAGCCAACGTGTTAACAGGAAAAATTCTTGCTGCAATTTCATTCATTTTTTTTTTTTTTTCTTAATATTCTTGCAGAGGTTAGAGGACCGTTTCTCTGCCTTGAAAGATGCACTGCTGTCTTACAACAAATCAAGGCATGATTTCGTTATCAAGGTAAGAAATGTTTATAAAAAATTTCACTTCCTTTTTGATTTGAAATTAAAACTCATTTGCATTTTCCAACCAATTAAATTCTTCTTTATTTTACACCCAATATTGCAAAAAAAAAAAAAGAACTTTGATTTTTTCTTTTTTTTTTTTTTTTTTTTGTTAATCAAATTTGTTTTTTTTTTAGCAAACAGACGATCAAATCAAACTGCTTGAACAGCAAGTGAAACTGGAAGAAGAGTTCAACCGTCCATATATTGACCTGAGCCTTCATCAGACAATTCACAGATTGATAGTTGATGATAGGATGAAACAAGCGGAGACTCTTCGAAAGATGTTCAAAGTTCCTGAAAAACGGTATAAATTATTTGAATATATTTCATGAATTTTTAAAAGTTTATTTGCACAGATCTCATGATTTTTTAAATTTTATTTACACAAATTTAATAATTTTTCTAAAAATGATTTGCACAAATTTCATGAAATTTTATAGTTATTTGTACAGATTTCATGAATTATCTCAATTTCCACTTTTCTCAAGGCTTTTAACAAAATGATTAAAAGCTAAAAAAGGATATAGGGTAATTTTAGATAATCTTTGTTTATAATACACAAAGTGCATTTGCATATTTTTGCCTGTAACCTTTTTCCTTACCCATATTATCTCCCTTGCAGTGGTGATACCATCTGGCAGTGTCATTGTTATCGTAATTATAGATTGTTTGCAGATGTTAACAAAGCTAGAAGGTATGTGTGATACAATGGGTCCCCACTTGATTCGAGCACCCACAAGTGGGCTGTAAATGATTTTATCTGGGCCTGAAACACTGGCAGCTTGATGATATCCAGCAGTAAAATCTGGATGTGAGAGTTTCAAAGTAACGACCTTGCTGTCCACAAGTAGGCAAAAAGGAAGTAAATAAATGAAAACTTTTGGGTTCATGTGCCACCCAGCCAGAAGTTAAGGAATTCCAGTAGTGGGTTTATATAGTCAACTCAAATTCTATGATAGGCTAATCAGAAGCTATCCATTGGTGAGTGACACAATGTCTGCTGTAAAGATGGGCGGAGTGATAGTGGGAGAGAGTTAGTAGTCAGGGGTGAGTTACAAGTCATCTATCAAAATGTAGAAAGTTGCAGTTAAATAGGTGAAGTTGGAGTTCTTCGTGATTGAAATGACTATCTAGCATTAGTGCGAAAAGTCTACTGGATATGGGGAAATTTTTATTAATAGACCAATTCCCCAAAGGATACTATGGACTGAACATGTGAGCAATGATGAGGTTTTAGAGAAAATGGAAACAAAAAAGAAATCTATATATAACATCAGGAAGAGGCAGTTGAAATTTCTGGGGCACATAATGAGGAAGAAGGGTTTGGAAAATCTGATACACACAAGGCAGATTGAAGGAAAGCAGTGTGTAACATACTTGATGAGCTTGAGTAAATGGATGGTAGAAATAACAAAAAGACAATTTTTTAGGAGCTGTAAGGGACAGGAAGATGTGGAGAGCCTACGTCCTAAAGAGACATGTCACATTAAAGAAGAATACACCAGAATTGATATATTTTTACATAATTGAAATTTTTTAAAAGTCTTGCATGTAAAAAACTTAATAATAAACACACACACACACACACACACACACACACATATGTTAATATATTAGATGAACTGATATATAAATTATTTGTACATCTGAGTAGATGAAGTTCCAAAGGACAAAATGTGTCACATGAATATTTTTTCCCTATATTGTCATTATTTTTCATAATATATATATATATATATTGATCTGACATGCTATACCACTCAGCTACAGCATCCTGGATAAGACAATAAACTACAACCAGCAGCAAGGCCTCTGATCAGGAGGTTTTGAGGAGCATGGAAACACCTATTAATTGGTGGTGTTCCCAGGTCCACCCTGACCGGGGGTGGTAGCACCTGTTAGGTTCCCAGCTATGGGCAAATAGTTAACTATTACCAGCAATATTTTTTTTGAAAAATTATTACCAGCAATACAATTTTGAAGGAAAAATATTAACAGAAACAGATTTTTGACAAAAGAAAATATTACCAGCAATAAAGAATATTGTTGGCATTGAGTAGCCCATTGGGGTTGCTGTGCCATGGGACAAAATAAACCAAACTAACCTAAACCAAAGAATACATATTCTGTTCATACGAATCTATCCTAAAAATCTTGTCAGCATTAAATAACCTATTGAGGTTGATATGCCGTAAAACAAAATAAACCAAACCAAAATAAACTAAAGAATATATATTTTATTCATACGAATCTATCCTAAAAATCTTGTTAGCATTAAATAACCCATATTGATATGCCATAAAACAAAATAAACCAAACCACTCAGCTACAGAGAAGTGTCTGGTTAGTAAAGTCCAAATTACTGTTTATAAATAACAAATTTTTGATGATCTTTCCCAAATTATCATATCTGCTCACGAAATGTATCTTAACATAAACATTAATAGTATATTATGAAATGGATTAAGTCTGACAATTATTTAATATATTTTCTGTTTATACATTATTTTTAGTAGATACAATTTAAGTAAATGCTCTGTTTTTTAAATAAACGGTATTAATTGCATTTATCGGCCTAAATAGGACACAGGTTTGATTCCTGTCAGAGAATGCATATTTTCTACAAAATTTCTCAAACATTCAAACTGGTAAATGTTTTGTTTATCATGTGGATTGTTTTTCTTAAAATATTTTCAGATTTTGGTGCCTTAAGATCAATGCTTTGGCCGAGTCTGGCCAGTGGGCTGAACTGGACAAATTCTCTAAAAGTAAAAAACCTCCAGTTGGAATGGAGGTATGTCACCATTTTCATCTTTGTTACTTTCCACTCCTACACACAAAATGTTTCTCTTAGAAAGCAAATAAAAAAAAAATTATATACATTCCATTTGCTTATTCATAACTTATTAGGTTGAATCATAAATAATTTGTTTTCATTTATTGGCTTTATTCTTCAAAAAATAAATTACAATTAAATTTTATTCAATTATACATCCAATAAGGAGAGCAAGAAGAAGGGACTAACTACAAGAAGACAGAATGCATGGTCATCAGTAAAAAGATGTGCCCAAAATGCGATTTACAGGTCAGAAACGCTAAAATAAAGCGGGTGCAGAAATTTAGATATCTGGGAAGTGTTCTGACAGAGGACGGTAAGTGCAATGTTGTGATCTGAAGACCTATTGGAATGGCCAAAGACATATTCCAAAAGCTAGGCAGAGTATTACAAGACAGGAGGATTTTTTTGGTAACAAAGAAAAGACTACTGAACTGATACATGATATTTGTCCTCCTTTACGGCAAAGATGGTGAAGAGACTCAAGGTAACATAGTTATGTTCCTATAGAAGGATGCTAAGGATACTATGGACCGAACATGCGAGCAACAATGAGGTTTTGAAGAGGATGCAAACAAGGAGGAAGCTTATACTTAACATCAGGAAGAGGCAGCTGAAATTTATGGGACATATAATGAGAAAAGAGAAACAAGGGAAAGCAATGTGTGACGTACCCAGCGAGCTTAAGCAAGTGGATGACAGAACAGAGTTTGGGAGAAGTAGCAAAAGGAGAAAATATATTGAGAACTACAAGGGATAGGAGGAAGTGGAGAGCCGTGACTGCCTAAGTCCTAAAGGGACACAGCACATAAAAGAAGAAAGATTATTTGCAATGACTTGTGCTGTAAGTGCAGGTAGTATAAAAGGGTTATGACCATATCACATTGAAACACAGGTTCCCCTATGATCATTGAAGTTAAGCAACATCAAGCCTGGTCAGTACATAGATGGGTCACCACTTGGGAAAACCAGGTGTTGTAAGTTTTGATGTGTGGATGGTATAATGGAGTTGTTAATTGGAGAGCCGAGATCTTATTCCAACTAGGTTCATTAAATATTCATTCATGCATAAATACCTTTGGAAAGGTATGAATCTAGCTCTTCTACCTCCAGCTATGGGTTAATTAGTAAGACTTGTATCACTAAACTAGTATTATCTCAAAAAATACAAAATATTTAGATTTTGGTTTTAAATAGCCCAAAGAAGTTGATATGCCGCTAAACAAAAATGACCAACCACCTATTAAAGTCACTATAAAGTGTGCTATGGGCTGAATATAAAGAACAGTTATGATGAAAGGAAACCACTCTTTGTATTTGCAAAGTACATTAATGACCACTGTACTATGTCTGATAAGTTTACAGCCATCACATCACCACAGAGAAAGTTCAATGGTAAAAAGATAAAAATGAAACCATTTTTTAATGGGTTCTATTTCTATTGATCGATATTTGAAAATTTTTGGATTGCATTAAGAATGACCAAAAGCTGACTGAAGTCAAAATTGAACCGTACACGGCTGGAGATGCACCCTAAAAAAAAAAAAAAAAAAAAAAAAGGTGGGGGGGGGCAGAATGCCTATGTTACTTCGGCCGAGCGAATTCAAAGACTCATGCTAAACTACAACGAAGATAAAAGCTAAATATTCTGCATGGATGAATGTAGTTGATGATAAAAGAGTTAATGTTTTGAATGGGTATAATCAAATCAGTGATGCGGGAAAATATGAAAAGAAATTGTGAAAACATTCCAACATCCTGGGTAAGATGATAAACTATATCCAACAGCAAAGCCTCTCATCAGGATGTTTTGAGGAGTGTGGAACCACAACTTAATTGCTAGTCTTCCCAGGTCCACCCTGACCCAGGGTGGTAGCAACTTTTAGGGTCCCAGCTACAGGCAAATAGTTAACCCTTGAACTGGCATCAAAGCACTATGAAAGTGTAAAAATAGGTTTAAATACCAGCAATACATTTTTTTTTTAAATTATTACCAACAATAAATTTTTGAAGAAAAAAAAATATTACCAGCAATACATTATTACCATCAATACTTGTTTGGAAAAAATATTACCAGCAATACATTTTTGGGAAAAATATTACCAGAAATACTTTTTGAAAAAAAAATATTACCAGCAATGAAAATCTTGTCGGCATTAAATAACCCATTGAGGTTGATATGCCATAAAACAAAACAAAACCAACCTACAAAAAACATCCCAACACAAATGGACAAAACTAAACCTTCTCCTAATGTTATATTATCATCTGCACTTATGGAATGTAGTGAGGCTACTACAGGTCAATTTCCAAGTATTGATAACCTAGAAATCACATTGGGAAATATTAGACATTAAGAAATAATGCTGGCTCGGCAATACAACAGCATCCAAAAGACATCACTTTTGCTAATGCCATCAGGAAATTATCAAGTGGTGAAGAATTATACTTTGACTCTGGAAATGTAGAACACATTTTTATATTTAGAGCCTTTGAAAAGCACATGATTTTCTTATTCCAATACAGTAGAACTATGAAGGCGTTCGAGATATGAGGAATTGGTTTACAAAGTCCAGATATGAAGAGTTATATTTAGATTAAAATAAAAGAAGTGAAATCAAGTTGAACATTTATTTTCAATGTTTTATAGTAAACAAAATAGGCTAATGTTGAATTGAAATATAACAACTGAATTTAAGAAAAACGAAATTATGTAATGTTAATGAAAATTCATTAAATTAAGTATGCCACGTATGCAAAACAAATAATGTAATGAGGATTTTTAATCGCTGTTGCATGATGATTCTTTTTTTTCTTTTTCTTCTAATGTCATTCTCGATTCCCCCCCCTTTCGTTTTGCTTTTTTAAAAAATTTTTTTAAACAAGACATTTTTTAACTCTGAGTGCCTTATTGCAACCGCCATAGCTGAATGCTGACTTTCTTTCGATAAAACTGACAACCTTTACAATAGCTTTTTCAATTTTAGTCCAAGTTTCATCACAATCGTGCATCTCGTCACTATCTTATTGCAAATGTGTCTCGTTGTCATCATTTCCTCTTATTCCCATCATCTTTTGCACCAATACAAGCCATTAGGGTAAAATAAACACAAGTAATTATTCAAAGTAAATTTCTTGAAAAACATTTTAAATCAGTTTACATATCACCCAAATAGTTCAAATATACACATCAAAATCAGGTCCAGATATGAGGCACTACAGATATGAAGCACTCTGGATATGAGGGACTCTACTGTATTTGGAAATTTTTGGATTGCATTAAGAATGACCAAAAGCTGACTGGAGCCAAAATTGAACCATACATGGCTGGAGATGCACCTAAAAAAGGAAAAAAGCCTATGTTACTTCTGCTGAATTCTAAATTCAATTAGTTATGTCGCACTTAGGCCATCATTTATCTTTTGATACATGACTGATGAGGCAGATTTTTTCCCTGGAGTAGGTTGCCATTTCTTTCTGTGGTAGACCAGTTGCCATCCAAGGCTATAGAACCTGATCTGTTCTGCTATTTACCCATAGCTGGAGAGAGAAGAGGAGGATTCATACTTTTCCCAAGGTTATTGTCATGCCATATTACCTATTCTATTGTAATGGACTCTCCCATAGATAATAAGAAGTAGTAGCAGCCGCCAGATCGGGCTCAGTGGTGTTTAGCGCGTCAGACGATATCGGACATTGAAGTACCAACCATCACAACTAGATTGCTGTGTCAACTCTTATTTTTCAAGTTCTAACGTTTTGTACGTTGAATCTAATTTAGGACGACTTCTTGAAATACAAGCCTCCACTGTGAAAACTACTCCACAACAGTTATTAACACATAAGTAAATATAATGGATTCAACTGGAATTCAAACACGGCTCTCCGATTTCTCAATCCAAGCCGCTATCCATTACTCAACCATGAAGGAAAATAGTTGTTTCCATGACCATTTGAGAGGGATAGTACGTAATATCAGTTATTACAAACTCAAGTTTTAATTATCAAATTAAAGCACATATCATTTACACTATTTACGTTGTTCAGACTATTATACTCATCTTTGTCATATTCACAACATTTCAGCTGTTGTACATTCAGCCTTCTTCAGGATCTGTCTATATTTCTGAGATGAGGTATTGTAACTATTTACACTGTTTACATTGTCCAGACTGTTGTCCTCATCTTTATTGTCATATTCATGCCTTGAAGAAGGCTGGTGCATACAATGACTGAAATGTCCTGAATATGTCTGAACAATGTAAATAGTTATAATACTTCATCTTAGAAATATAGACACACATAATATTAGTTATTAGAACCATGAATTTTAATTATTAAATTAATTAAATAAAACACATATCAGTTATTAGAACAAAGTTTTAATTATTAAATCAATTAGATTAAAGCAAATAATATCAGTTATATGAAACCCAAGTTTTAATTAAAGCACAAAATATCACTTATTAGAACCACAAGTTTGAATTATTAAATTAATTAAAGCACAAAATATCAGTTATTAGAAACCAAAATTTTAATTAGTAAATTAATTATATTACAACACATAATGTCAGCTATTAGAAACCCAAGTTTTAATTCTTAAGTTTATTGAATTAAAACACAATGTTTTTTTGTTTTTTTTTTACGTGTTTCACCTCAAGCAAGGCAGGAAGCCACTAGCATGCAAGGGGTTACAGAGAATTGGAGTGAGACCAAATAAGAGTGATAGAGGAAAAGATGAAGAGAAGGATAGATAGGGAATAGATCAAGGCATCTGGAGACGTCGATTGACATTACATTTGAATAGTTGGAGATTATCGCTATCAGGGAAACAGGAAAAGAGGAGGGAGTTCCACAGGTGAGATGTGCGAAACCATTGAGGTAGAAGAGGCGGCTACATTTAACATTTTCGACAGTGAAAGTGTGTGAGCAAGATGCCAGCCTAGTAGAATGCTTAAATTCATGAAGTCTGGGAACCAGCGAAAGCAGCTCATTGGAACAGTTACCATGAAAGTATTTCTAAAAAAGACAGTGGGAGGTGATAACACATCAGTGATTATTTATTTTTACCCTTAGATATGTTGATCAATAAAATTAGAACTCATTAAAATTTTGTTTATTGTTTATCCTTTTACAGTGAACTTTCCCCAAGATGAATTAATGGCAAGGAACTTACCTGTAAACCCATTTGACAAATGAATGTGCTCAAAGACAGAGGATTGTTTATTGTAGTATTCTCCTCTTTGATATTTTGCCAACATGAGGTGTTATTGTAAAGCTTCCAATCTGTATTTGCTCAAATCATTTCATTCAATTGGAATGTATATCTAGTTGGTTCCCAGCCTACTGAGTCAGTCTACCAAGAGATTTTATGATTTCTCTACATGCTCAATTATTGCTTGAGTTTTTATCACATTGTGCTGAAATGGTTCTGCAATCTTTACAATGACTGACAAATTCGAGCAACATGCTTACATCAAGGTAGTGTTTTACCATTACCAATATTTCTTTTCATATTTATCCCTTTCTTCTATAGGTTCCAGCTGGTTGATGATAAGAGCATACTGAGACATATTAAGATATTATGGGTCAATAAACATCACCGGTATATTATTACAATAGTAGTAATAGTTGCATAAGTAGTAATAAAAAAAATAAAAATGTCATTTGAGTAAATATTATTAGGAATTATACTAGATAGAAGTGACAGTCTAGGGTAAGGTTATAGCTTATGGCATTTAGTGTAAGGGGATAAAATTAACTCACAACTATAGTTTTTGGGAGAAAACTAACCTACAAGAAGTTATGTTGCATATTATTTTGCTTTTATTTATTTTTCCTTTTTTTATTTTTCTTTTATTATTTTTCTTTTTATTTATTTTTTCTTTTTACTTTTTTATTTATTTTTTTTTTATTTTCTTTTTACTTATATTTTTTCTTTTTATTTATTTTTCTTTTATTTATTTTTTCTTTTTTTTTACTTTTTATTTATTTTTTTTTTATTTATTTTTCTTTTATTTATTTTTTTTTTTTTTATTTTTCTTTTATTTATTTTTTTTTTTTTACTTATTTTTTTTTTTTCTTATATTTTATTTATTTTTTTTATTTTTTTTTTTATTTTCTTTTTTACTTTCCTTTTTTGTTTTTTCTTATATTTTTTCTTTAGACTTATATTTTTCTTTTATTTTTTTTCTGTTTTTCTTTCTGTTTTTCCCTTTAGATTTTTTTGTTGATTTTTTTTGTTCTTTCTTTTTCTCTTTTCCTTTTCCCTGTTTGACTGTCAATTATGCCATCAAATATGGTAGACCCACATTTTCAATTTTGAGAAGAATTTTTTCCTTTACTGTCAGTCATTCCTAACAATTGCCATATCTGATCTGAAATGTCCAATAAGCATACTACCCAAGTAAAACACTTTTTTTTTTTTTAAAGGCTAAATATTTAAGATCCTTCTTTTAAGATTGTTATTTTGTGACTTCCTTTCAGGCTTTTGTTGAGGCTTGCATGAAATATAACAATCCTTATGAGGCCAGAAAGTATCTGCCCAGGGTGCAACCAGAAAACAGAGTACGATGTCTTCTTCGGACAGGGTAAGTGTTCACAAATCATTTTTATTCTTTTCTTTATCATGCCAGTTAAACTACGATATCAGGACGGCTTCTTTCTGGCTGAAAAATTGAAAATTTTACTTATCCTAAAATCAACAACATTTTACAAATGAAGAAGAATATTTGAAGTTGAGGAAGTGTTTTAGTTGGAATTCTTCTATATCATATCCCTTCTGGATGTGAATGATCATGAGTCTCCACAACTTCCTGTCCTTTGTAGCTCTTAGTAAAGTTTGTCTTTTTGCTATCTCTCTTAATTCCTGTTCTGTCAGCCATTTACATAAACTTGTTAGGTAGGTTATGTGGTTCTTTCTGCTGTCCTTCTTGCCTTCAATGTCTTGTGAGTGTCAAATTTTCAAGCCCTCTTTCCTCATTATCTACCCTAGAAATTTCAACTTTCTCTTTCTGATGTTACAAATAAGTATACTTTTTGCTTTCATTTTTTTCTAAAATTTTGTTATTACTCACATGTTCAGACATTAGTATTCTCAGCATCCTTCTGTAGAATCATATTTCTGTTGTTTCAAGTCTTTTCTTCACCTGTGAGGAGATTGTCCAGCATTCCCTGCCATATAAATAAGTTCAGTATTCTTTTCTGTGTTTCTAACAAAACTTTTGTGTAATATTTTGCTTAGCTTTTAAGTTATGAGCTCTCTCACTGCCCATCTTGCAATCAGTATGTCTTGTGAGTGTCAAATTTTCTAAGCCCTCTTTCCTCATTATCTGCCCTAGAAATTTCAACCTTTTTTTTTCTGATTCTAAGTATTCTTTTTCTTACCATTTTCCTTAGTCACACATACATAACCCACCAATATCTCCTGAAAAATGAGGTACCTCCAACCTGTGTCCCATGCCAAGAATCTTATACAGTCAAACACATCCTACTAAATTGCCATAATCTCTGACGAATGCATAGTAAACACTACAAATCGGATTACCTAAAGGATCTATTCGAAAATACTAATCCAAGTAACATCATAAATTTCACTAAAGAAATTGGGATCTACAGAAAAATCTAAAATAAAAAAAACAATGCATTTTTGAAAAACATATATCTACTATCTATATTTCTCGTGTTGTCTGTCTGTGTGTCTGTTGTGGGCGTTGTTACCTCGCCCAGGCCGCATTTCTCACCCGATTTCTATGCAGTTTTCACCACAAGTTTGCAAATGGCTGCCTTAAGGACATGACGCAGCCTGATTTTTCAGTTCGGACTCAGGTTCCGAAAAAATCGATAATTGAAAAAATCTGCTTACAGAAGGAATTATTGCATTTCAACCAAATTTGACACCCTCTTAGAGTCTACCTTTGGAAGTGTTGTCCAGAAGTTTCATGACCACGGACCCCTAAACAGCGCGGAAAATCGATAAAACCCAAAAGCCGATACGCCCAGATTGCACCTGAACTGCATGTCGGTTTTTAGCGAAAACCGATCGGATTTATGAGGAGGCCATTTGGAGTCACCATGTTTAGTTTGAACTCTGAGCGCCCCCCCAAAATAGAGTGCAAATGGGTAATCGGTCAATCCTTAAAAATATTTTTCCGGTTGGGTATTTCCTAAATGCAGATTAATTTAAGGTCACGCTATGTGCAGGAAGAAACAGGTTAGTGCGTGCAGTGCTGTATGAGTCGTACGATTTTTGAATCAAGCACAGGCAACGCCGGGCCATGCTTCTAGTTTGCTATATATTTTTGAAAAAAAGAAAATATATATTACCAGCTATACATTTTTTTAAAAAAATGAAAAATATTACCAGCGATACATAATTGAAAAATTATTACCAGAAATAGAATTTTTGAAGAAAAAATATTACCTGAATTAGATTAAAAAAAAAAAAAAAAAATATTACCAACAATAAATTTTGTCGGCATTAAATGACCTATTGAGGTCAATATGCTGTAAAATCAAAACGAACAAACAAACCATTTTCCTTAAAACATTGTTGCTCACATATTCAGTCTATGCTATTCTGAATGTTCTTCTGTAAAACCATATTTCTTTTGCTTCAAGTCCTCTCATCTGTGAATAGATTGTCCAACATTCACTGCCATATTGGAGAACCAATATTACATAACAGTTCAGTACTCTTTTCTTTGTTTCTGACAAAATTTTCCTGTTTCTTATGTTGCAAACTGGCAACATAGAGATGTGGACACTAAGTTCAAAAAAAAAATGGGATCACTCAGATAGAAACAAATAACACAGATGTCAATGAACAACAAACACAGGATGAAAGTTTAAAAATAATCTTACATAACAAAACAATTGAATAGGAAGAGAATGTGAGATAGCAGACGTAAGATCAACAAAAGGCACTTATCTGATATTGGATATCATTCTGATTATCCACAAATCATAAATTCATAAGTTGAAGAGTTCATAACAGCAAACTGATAGTTCTTTAGAATGTCCAAATGCAAATTAGTAATTATTCCTACTGTAATATAAACTATTTTGTACTTTCAACCACAGATATTTTGTACATAATTTTATACTTTCAGAGTAAAGGTGTGTTTTTTAGATATATATTTTGTAGATATATATATACACACACACACACACACACATACATACACATAAATATATATATATATATATATATATATATATATCTATAAAAGGCAGGATGTGTGTGCGTGTGTTTGTAACGAATGCACGGCCGCAATTTTCTACGAATTTGCACCAAAATTTACATGCACATGCTCCAAGTTAGCGGGAAGGCCAAGACCGACTTTGCATTTCCCAACTCCCATCGATAGTGGAAATAATCGATTTTTTTCATGCTTCTACAGCAGTTTTCATGTAGTTTGCAGCCATTTTGTACTGGCCAAAGTGAAAGCCTATAGCTGGCTGCCACGAATAGGCAGGAAGATTCTATTGGCCAGCGTGAGAGCCAACAGCTGACTGACACAAATGTTAACTTGCATGCTATAGCATGCAAAAAAAATCGATAGCTGCATTCATCACAAGTGGGGAAAAATTTAAATCTGCATGGCACTTTACTCCAATTGTCTCATTCGCTTGCTTAAACTCAACATTGATTCTGATTCCGCAGAACTGGGTTGGATGTGAAAAAGTATTTGTTGTTAACATTCTTTTTTCATCTGTTTTTTCCAGTTACGAGTCCTTTTTAAAGCTGATCGTTTTGTGTTCATTTTGTTTAGTTCTTTTTTCGTAACAGATTTAATGTTTAGTATAGAGCTTAGAAAAAATTCGCAGTGTGAGATAGGCAAGAAGTAAGGTATGTAGCAACATCAGCACAGCAAAGGGCACTCCTTTAAAAGGCAAGGAAGGCAAAATATTTTAAGTCAAGTGATAGTGATTGCTGTATGAGTCGTATGATTTTTGAATCAAGCATGGGCAACGTATAGTATAGTATATAATATAAAAATATATAAAATATATATATATATATATATATATATATATATATATATATATATATATTTTGTAGAACAATTTTTAGATATATATTTTGTAGATCATAAAATATATTGTTGGTAATTTTACTTTAAAATGTATTGTATATTTTTTGTTTGGGGGTTCACTATTTGCCCATAGCTGGGACCCTAACAGGTGCTACCACTCTGAGTTAGGGTGGACCTGGAAACAACAGCAATTAAAAGGTGGCTCCACACTCCTCAAAATCTCCAATCTCCAGATCAGAAGCCTTGTTGCCAGATGTAGTTCATCATCATACCCATCCTTATAAGGAAATGGCTATTATCACTGTATACTTGCAAAATGAGTCATCTACTCCTAAACCAACCTAGTAACAATTCATTATCACTGAACAAACCTGTATTTTCTCCAGTCATGATGAGCAGTTGTACTCCCAATTAGAGTCCATGTCTTGAACTTCTCTTGGGACTCATGTTCTCTCCAGACTTCATATGGAACCCATATGTACAATCTTTGGCTAAAGATGCTGGGAAAACACTTATTTCTTTTAACCACTCCAAAAAGGCCAAACTTTTTTCTGCTACTCTCTCATTACAAAAGTCAGTTGGGACCAAAAATGAATTAGTGCTGCCATATCTGGGCTGGAGCTGCCCAGACCTCCTTTTCCAGACATGACAGAGTTCAAAAACATTTACATGGCCTTGTGGATGAAGAATTATTTTCAACACTACAGCCTTTTTCTCACAGATGAAATGTCACTAGCCTCTCACTACACTATCATTATTTTCATGGTAAAAGTTCCGATGAGCCACATTTCTTAGTTCCACCAGCTCGGACCAGCCGTACTACATACACAGGGTTATATCATACAACAACCTTATTCAGTAACCACTCTATATTGAGTGGCATTTGGCCTTTGGATTGGGTAAACATTGAGTAAAAAATAAAATAAAATATATAGGAGTCAAGTTATCAAAAATGTCCTGGCTTGTAGTATCATGCATTGGGACCAGTTCAATTAGTTCTTCATAAATTTGAAATTCATTGTCACAAGCCCTGATGAAAACTGTGAGCTGTGCTATTCCAGCTGCATCAAGAGTCTCATCCAGAGCAATAAAAAAATGTTCAAAATTTGATGATAAAGTCTTCAACTGTTGACTCAAATCACCTGTCATTTCATCGATCCGTTCAGCAAGAGTTCTTGCTTAATGAAATGTCTTGAAATAAGTGTAGTTTCTCTGGACATGCAATTTCAGCTGTTTTTACAAGACATCACTTTATAAAATCTCCTTCACTGTAAGATTTTCCACTGATGCCGACCATATTGCAGAGTTCAAAGCTTGCAGTAACAGAACTAATGTTGCCTTTCTGTTGCTGTGTTAACTTAACCTTGAATTCCTTCACTTTTGAAACATGTATATCTCTTTCATATTTATCATAAGATCGATGGTTTGTTTCATATTGGTTCTTTTCATATTATATTCTTTTGGCATCGCAGTGCAGTGGTTGCAAATCAAACAGTTTATCTTTCCATTAACAGTCGTACAAAAGTACTGTAATTCCCACTTTTCTTTAAACACACGTCCTTCTTCAGATAATTTTCTCTTTTTATGAGATGGAATAGAATTCTGCATTTTTAAGGTAAAATGTTACAAAATTACAAACGTTTTCACTTTACATTTGTTCTTATTTAGTTGTCAAGGATGATCATATGATTAACCGGAAGTTAAAAATACTTGCTGACATTTAAAAACAAAAAAACATTGAGATAGAATAAACAATCTAGCCATATCAATTGAAAAAAAATTCACTTTTTTTTAATAATTTGCATTAACAACATAGACAAAATTCTCAATATGCCACAGCTATAGAAACTTTTGGGAGGGCCGCCAAGATGCATGTAAAAGGCTGCGTGCGGCTCACGGGCTGCCAGTTTGACATACCTGTTCTGGAGCAAAGAAATGTACTTCAAAATTTTTGGTGGGTAAATTTGATGATTTTACTTAAATAGTTCATTTTTTTAATTTTTTTTAAAAGATTAAAGAGGTTTTTAAACATTAAAACGATTTTTCAAAAAATTTTTCAGATCTTTTTAATTTTTCAAATATTAATTTTTTAAAAATCTTAATTTTGAAAATAATTTTTCGAACTTTTTAAAATCTTTCTGATTTTTAAAAAATCCTTTTTTTTTTTTTTTTTTTTTTTCCTGAAATCTTAGTATTTTTTTTTTTTTTAAATTTTTTTTTTTTTTCAGGCAAATGAAAGAAGCTGCAGATGCTGCTTTTGAAAACCGCAGTGAAGATGAACTGAATATTGTACTGTCCCGCTGCGGATTATCTGATCCAAGCCTTGCAGAGAAAATCAAATCTCTGAAAGCACAACTGAGTTCCAAAAATGATTTTCTATCCATTCCATTCTTGTGCAAAGCATTGATATACAGGTTATATATATATATATATATATATATATATATATATATATATATATATATGATATACAGGTTTTATTATTTTTGTTTCTGTTACCAATCACAACCAACCACTTCTGCCAATGTCCAAGATAATATTTAACAAAAAATTTCCAAACATTTCATTTCAGTCCATAAGAACAGCTTAACCATCTTTAGTCCTACATCATTGCCACCTGTCAAATGCCAGAGGCTTTTTGCCAGTTTAGTAAATATCTATAATCTAAATGCTAACCATTTTGTCTTACTTGTAAAATAAGTAGAAGCTGAAAATTAAATAAATGAAAATTTCATTTGGGCTGTAAAAATGGACTTTTTAAAAGTATCTATAAATATATACACAAATATAGTAAAACAAAGAGGAAGGAAGGGAGAGTAAGAATTAGCAAAGAAAAAAAATTATTATTACTCACTGTAAAGTGGTGGATAGAAAAAAAAATAGATGGACTGAAAAAGGACTAACTATTCATTGCTCCTCACTCTTCAGAGCTCAATCAAGGACAAAACACGAATATGTGCACAATGACCAAAAAAAAATAGTGTAGGTCATTGTGCACATATTTAGGTTATGTCCTCTGAAGAGCAAGGAGTGATGAATGGTTATCTTTTTTTTTTTTTTTTTGTATCTTTTTTTATATATATTTTCTGTCCACTTTACACTTAATACTATTTTTTTTGCTTATCTTTGTTCTTCGACTCACTTTAACTTTATATATTTGTGAATATATACTTTTAAAATATGCATTTTAAAACCCTAATGAAATTTTGTACCCCCACCCCTGTCAGATTATTTAAGTGAATATTTGAATTAAATATAAGTAAAAAATTTTAAAAAAAAAGTTAATTTTTCCTTTGCACAAGAAAGTTGATTCCTTTTTTTTACTAGTGCCACAAAACCAGTTAGAATCGATCAGTGCATTGACCCCCAAATTTTAAATGACCTTAACTGAAAAAAGGTCACAGATTCAGTGAAACCAAATTATAATAAACCAAAAAGGTCAATGTGTATTTATTTGGAAATCAACTGACTTATATTACTTGAATTTCTTTCAGGTAGGCAAATACTTTTTATTAAAATGGTCATTTATTAGTGTGGAACCTCAAATTCAGAGCCATATTGTATTATTATGTAAATGAAAATATGGGGGAGTATTGATTATGTAAATGAAAATATGGGGGAGTCGAAGTGTTTTAGGGGATTAATGACCTTAATTAAGAGTAACAAATTTAATGCATTTATTGTGGAAAATACTAATTTCATTAACTTTTTAGCAACTTGAAAATTTCTCTAAATTACATTGTTTTCCCCACAATGTCTAATACCAAAGATGTTGTAAGTAAAGTGAGATTGAACAATGCTATTTCAAAATAGACGTCAGAAAAAGAAAAAAACCTTAAAGTCCTCTCTTCCCAAAGGCAACAACTCATATTATGTGTTTGTGTGTAATAGATCTAGGATATATACATTTCTGAATATCAGAACAATACAAGGCAATTGAATGACAAAGTGGAAAAATTCTGTGTAACACATCTTGTAATATATATATATATGTGTGTGTGTGTGTAAAATGTGTATGCACATATATGTATGGATGTGAAATGTGTGTGTGTGTATATATATATATATACATACACACACACACACACACACACATTTCCAGTAATTTCTTTTTTATATATATATATATATATATATATATGTGTACATATATATATATATATATATATATATATATAAAATTTGTACATACAGAGATATATGTGTGGTACTTATTGGTAAGCTCAATATCATACTTCCTTCCCCAACCAGCAAAATTAATACCACTGCATAAATACCAATAAGTATTATAAATTGGAATTTCTACCATTTACATAAGCACAATCACCAAAAACAAGCAAATAACCTGCTTTAAAGTAATAACAAAATACCATTAAAAATAAGAAGAATTTTACCTACCATAGTCTTACACAGACCCCATCTTAAGTTTAAAAAAAAAAAAGACAGATGGATAGAAGGAGTGTGAATACAAATGCATACACATATATATGTTTGTGTTACTTTTGTCTCATTTATTTTTAATTTTTTCTTCTTTCTTTCCCTCTTTTTTCCTTATTTCCTTTCCCCTTTTTTCTTATCCGATTTTATATGGGGTGAAAGTGCTCAGTATCCAGAATAGTGTGTGTGTGTGTGTGTGTAAATATAAGAAATGTGGACACTGTTGGCAACGGTCTGTTTCAGAGTTTGCATTTAAGCATGAAACAGACTATTGCCACTCGGTGTTGACATCAATGACCACACTTCTTATATTTACACACACTATCCCAGATATTGAGCACTTTTAACCTATAAATGTAGCATACTTTAAAACATGAAATACATACACACTGTTATAATATTTTTATTATAATAGATTACAATAAAAACAGTTTACTTCACTACACAAAAACTTTTATGTTTCAGGACTGTTATGGTCCTTCTTCAGGTGATGGTAGGTAACTTGTGATAAAAATGATTTATTTAAGAAAGTTGAAAGCATACTGTTACCTCTTTAGAAAGTTAAAAGGTGGTGGCGCCTAAGATAAAAAATATACTTGTGGGTATGTGTAGATTAACCAATTAAAAGTCAGATCTAAGCTAAAATAGAAAAATAAAAATAAGTGGAATTAGGTGAGTTATTAATTCATGTCAAGATAAAGTGACACTCTGGACAAGTCAGCAACAAAAGTATTGTATATGTAGCCAAGTATAGAGTTCAGATTTGTTGAAGTAGACATAAAGTTACCATGAACAATATTTTTTGTGATTTTATATACATACATACATACATACATATATATATATATATATATATATATATATATATATATATATATATATATATATATTTACTTTTTTACATGTTAAATTTTTATTTTTTTATATGTGCATTGAGCACTTTTTAGTTCTACTGTTTCCTGGTCTAATTCAACTCTAACCACTAATTTTTTTTCTTTATTTATATATATATATATATATATATAGACAAGTTTCATTAAAAAAACAACTGAGAGGGTACTGTAGTTAAGTTTTTATTTAATTTTTCACGTGTTCTTGTAATTTTCTTCTGGGCATAAATTCTGTAGGAATTGTCCAAATGTTTTATATGTCCGAGCACTTTCAGCTATACTTTTAGCCATTTTCAAGGATCAATTTTATTTTCACTTTTAACTGAATGTGTGGATTATTTTATGTATTTGTGTGTGTGTGTGTGTGTGTGTGTGTATATATACACACACACACACAGTGGGGGGGAATAAATATTCGTACACATGAAAAATTGTATTTTTATAAATATAAAAGCCTTAACTAAAACAAATTTTGATACATTTTATGTGTAAAGATACATTTTATTAAAAATAGTAATAAACTTAATTAATTCTTATTCTAACAGAAATAAATGCATTTTTTTTTCATTTTAACTGATGAAAAAAAGTATTCGTACAAAACAAAAATGCATATTAACTTAATTTAATACTTTGTGGAATATCCTTTATTGAGTTCAACAGCTACCAGTCTATTCCTGTACGTCTCAACTAATGATTTGCACACATTGAGTGTTATTTTGTCCCATTATTCTTGGCATATTGTCTTCAAATTCTTGATATGTGTTGGTGCTCTTTTCCCAATTTGAATTTTCAAACATCGCCATAAATTCTCGATTGGGATCAAGTCTGGGGACTGACTTGGCCATTGCAAGACATTGACGTTACTTTCAGCTAACCATTTCCTTGTAGATCTAGTGGTATGCTTAGGATCATTATCCAGTTGGAAAACCCAATCAGGAGGTAGCCGAAGTCTCTCAACAGAATGCATTAAATTGTCTTGCAGGATTTTCTGGTAGCTTTCGATATTCATCTTGCCATCTATTATTGATATTCTGCCAATACCTTTTGCTGAAAAACAGCCCCAGATCATGATACTGCCACCACCAAACGTTACAGTTAGCAATGTGTTCTTTGGTAAGTAGGCTTCACCGTCCTTCCTCCACACATGATTTCGATAATTATGACCAAACAACTCTATTTTATTTTCATCTGTCCATAGTACTTTTTCCCAAAACAAATATTCTTTATCCTTATGAATTTTAGCCTAGCATCTCTGTGTCGTTTCAAGAGGAGTGGAGTCTTCCTTGGGATGCATGATTTCAGACTGTTTTTGTGTAGTTCATTACTTATTGTACGCTTGGTTACTTTAATCCCTAATGCACGCAGATGTTCCTGCAGCTCTTCTTGGGTAACCTGTGGATTTTGTTGGATCTGGCGTCCTAATAGCCTTGCTGATCTTAGAGAAATCTTCCTCAGAGCACCTGTTCATCTTTGGTTTTCTACGCTGTTACGAGTTTTAAACCTTGCAATAAACGAAACAATTGTAGTAAAAGGAATATTCAGGTTGTTAGAAATCGTTCTGTAACTGTTCCCATCTTTCCAAAGAGACAAAATGTGTTGTTTTTGTGAAATAGTCAATTCTTTACCTTTAAGCATTATTAGAACCTTCTCGTAAGACTAGAAATTGCAGAATGATCTGATAATGGCTAATAACGTTAACTATAATTACTGATAACATTACTGGAACATTCTAGAATATACTTTTTTTCATAATTAATTGATTTTTTTATTCTAATAATTGATTTGTACCAATACTTTTTTCACCAGTTAGAATTTAAAAATGCATTAATTTCTGTTAGAATAAGAATTAATTAAGTTTATTATTATTTTTTAATAGTATGTGTCTTTATACATAAAATGTGCTGAGATTTGTTTTATTTAAGGCTTTTACATTTATAAAAATACAATTTTTCAAGTGTACGAATATTTATTTCCCCCCACTGTATATAATGGGCGCACAAATGGTACGTATGAAAATTCTAAAAAAGATCCCACTGCATTGCATTCAGATTTCTATTCATGTGATAGTTTTATTCCATTTCTGTATTTTTGACATAATGTATTAGCCAACATTTCTTTTTCCCATTTGTCATCTCCAGCACCAGAACAGTGAAAACATTGTATAATTTCTTGTTTATCCAGCTTAGCAGTTTTTTCCAAAGTTTTTTTGTATTTTTTTTTAAATCAGCTATTGTGCCATTGAAGGATCAAATCTTAACAGGGGCCAATTTATTTCCTATTTGTTTCCACTTTTTAGTAGCATATTAACAAAGAAAAAATTGCTATAAAATCGTTTT